TAAGCTTATTACTGCTAGCTACATAGTCGAGCACTCTGCCAGTAGGTAGTAGTACAGTAGTGGAGCCCTGGATAGTACAGTAGGAGTAGTAGTACTAGCCAGTCTAGCGAAATGCTAGTTGTACTGTACTACTGTAGTACATGACAATGTATGATCCTCTGGCGAAACTCGAGGTGTGAGCGTTGGTGTCCTGGATAGCACAAGTGTGTCGCAGACTCTGCGACACAGTTCAATGTGTGGTGCTGTTCTGTATGTGGCGTATATATAGTACGTGTAACCAAGGAGTAGCACACGAGCACAAGCACATCGACAAGTTCAGATAGTAGTAGTACTAGCTAGCTACAACAGGTACTAGTAATACTACACGTGTTTCGTCGGTGTGTTTATTTGTAGCTACCTAAGCTACTGTAGCTGGTTACTTGAACGCTAGCCCTGCAAACGGGTCACGGCCGCCACTGGTCTGACTATTTCCAAATTACTAGCAACATTCGCCAATAGTGAATTCAAGTGTTGTAAACTATCCGGACGTTATCCGTACGTTCTGGGTGACTTCGATTACACTTCGACGTAGCACTTCTCAAGTCCCTAATAAATATAAAACTCAAAGATCTGATATTTGTAATTTTATAAAAGTGAGAAGAAACGAAGCAGTTTTTGAGCATAAAGACGTGCTTTTCGAGCTTTTCCGTCAAAGAACTTTACCTCCTGTTTTTAATACTCTTTCAAATGTGGTTCGATTCATCAAATTTGGATCAAACTTGAATATGTAGGCTCACTGAGAAGTCAAATGTCGGCTCTAATATCGAACAGAGGAAGTAAGTGGAAGAAGTAGAAATGGCCAATCCGAACAATATTCGAAAGAAATTTTTGAGTAGTATTGTCGATTTGATAGAAATTTGGGGAGGGGGTGCAACCGATCCACAATAGATCTGATTGGTTGAATTTCATTGAGAAGGTTTTGATTGGTTAATAATTTTGAGCTCATCTGAAGTAGCCAATCAAATCGATTTAAATTCCAACGACAAACCACGCCACAACACGAAATTTCACTCGAAAGCACAATAATATTTCGATCGGGGGTACAGATCCATAAGGTATACGGTGGTTGATGAGAATGCAATGGAAGGTATGTGATGATGCTTTGGTGTCGTCTGCACAAAAGATGTGTGTCGTTATTAGTATGTCTAGGAGCAGTGTGTACAGTACATAGATAGGGAAAAGAAATTGTATATATTTTTTAAATAAATGCCAATGAAATACAGAAACATGATTCCTTCCCAGGCGCTAGCAAATGGCTTGTCACGGGTTGCGAGAGATCCAATGAAATACTCAATTGATCGATGCTTGGGCCGCTAACACTATTTTATCTTAACGTTACCTGTCTCTCGAAATGGCAGCAATTAAATAGTACTAGTACTACTAATAGTATTGATTTGTTTCGCCCGGTATATGTATTGTCACTTGGTAACAAATCTATTTTTCCCATAGTACCCTGCCCAGACGACGGCCGTGCTCGTGACGTTCTGGTGGAGGTTTTGGGCTATTTTGGGCTGGTATAGCGGCGCTCATCCGGTTCATTGCTGCGTGCAACTCGCAAGCCGACGTTGCATAGGTCTGATGATGGGGCTGTTTATCGCTTTCAAGCTCGGACCAAGCGTGCGCATGAGAAATCCAAGAGTGCTATTGTACGTAGGTTGGCTGGAGCTACCATACATAGCAAGGCAACTTGGCCATCCTGTATGATTGTGTGGGGCTTAGTGTTTACTATCTCGTACCACCCGTTCTAACAGCGTCTAGAACACATGGACAAGTACTACGTTGCTGTGGGTACATTGTTAGTCGTCCTGGCCTTCGTTGCCAACACTGGGTGTGCAATGCAACCAACTCGACACGAGGGGAAAATGAGTTTCGATAGAAGAGGCTATTTTAGCTCGGAACTACGTCGCATGCTTACAAACCAATGCAACCACCGTCTCGAACCGACGGATACATTGCCCGTCGATGTTAACATGTGCTGGATTTGGATACCAATGCTAAATTTACACTCACCTTGTGTGTGATACCGGATTTACCTCCGTAAATACCGGGTATATAGTCAATTACCCGTATTTGCTTGTCTGAAAATATCGTCCAGGTGGACCAATCAAATGCGTCGACGGAGGTCGTTACATGATGGCGTTGGCGGCGCATTGTGCAATATTCCGTTTGTCGAGGTCTCGACACCGCGCGCGCGCTCCTCGTCTCCCGGACTCTTGCCATCATCATCATGAGCACGCCTGAAGCCCTGCTGAACACGCTGCGCAAGCTGGATGCGAATAAGGCGTGCGCCAACTGCGACGCCGTCGCCAAGTTTGGCCACGGCAACATTTGCGAAAAGTTCAAAACGTTCGTGTGCAACCACTGCAAGAGCGCGCATCAGAGCTACAGCCACCGCGTCAAGGTACATCATACGTCCGTGCGTCTCCCGCGAGTCCTCATGCTCATGCCGCGCAACACACACCTCTGTTTCGTAGAGCGTGACCATGTCCAACTGGACCCGCGAAGACGTGGACGCATTGAAGGAAGAACATGGCGGCGGCAACGCCCTCGCTCGACGCACTTGGCTTGCATCTTGGAAAGATGGTGATGGTCGATCCCTGCGCAAACCACTGGAAACCGATCATTTGGACGTGTTCAAGAAGTTTATCAACGCCGTCTACAACGACAAGGCATACTTCTCGGAACCCAACGCCGCGCCATCTTCGTCGCGTCCAAAGCCGACGCCACCGCCGCCCCACGTGTCGTCCATCGTGTCCACACGTGCGTCTGTCTATTCATAGCCTTCTCGTCGAACGTAGCTAGCCTTGGACTCATGCGATTGGCGAGGTAGATGCTTCAACGTCGGGCGACCTCTTGGGCTTTTCGCCGCCACCGACGTCGTCGTTGTCCAGCGCGACATTTGAAGCCAATTTTGATGCTTTTTCCGCGCCGGTGCCTCCACAGCTTGCCACGTCATCGTTTGAGGCCACCTTTGACGCGTTCCCGCCGCCGTCAGCTGTCGCCACCACCACTCCCCAACACCACCACGACGAATGGTACATCTCAACGGCCTACTTGTTTTCAATCCATGGCCATGATATATAAATATATATATTTATATAATCAGAGTATATATATATATTTCTAGTCACGCCTGACGCTCTTGATATTTGGTGTATTAGGTCGGCGTTTCAATCGGCAACCGTGGTCCCGCCCGCGCCGATTTCCACGCCTTTCGACCCGTTTGGGATTCCGTCGGCGGCCGCGGGGGCTACTAGTAGTACTAGTCCGAGTCTTGCCTTTGATCCGTTTGCAAGTACGACTACTAGTACTAGTAGTACTAGCAGTACTCCCACCCACCACCGAGGACCGCCAACGCCCCAACATTCTCACGCTGGTACTGCGATCAACTCATTGTTGCAACCGGCAGTTGGCCTCCACGGCTTTGGCGTGCCAAACAACCAGCAGCCATTCAACCAAGCACTGTATCCCCAAGGAGGAGGCCAGCTTAGCAACATCACGTACAGCGGTGGCGGTGGCGCTAGCATTAGCTCGTTCTTAGACCCGACGCTGGTGGCTAGCCCCCACCCACGACCGCCACTAGGTGGACAACCCAGCTACCACCACCAGCCCACGTTTCAACCACAGCCAAGCTACCAACAACAAGGGTATCATCGACCTAGCCAGACCAGTGGCGGCCGTGACCCGTTTGCAGGGCTAGCGTTCAAGTAACCAGCTACAGTAGCTTAGGTAGCTACAAATAAACACACCGACGAAACACGTGTAGTATTACTAGTACCTGTTGTAGCTAGCTAGTACTACTACTATCTGAACTTGTCGATGTGCTTGTGCTCGTGTGCTACTCCTTGGTTACACGTACTATATATACGCCACATACAGAACAGCACCACACATTGAACTGTGTCGCAGAGTCTGCGACACACTTGTGCTATCCAGGACACCAACGCTCACACCTCGAGTTTCGCCAGAGGATCATACATTGTCATGTACTACAGTAGTACAGTACAACTAGCATTTCGCTAGACTGGCTAGTACTACTACTCCTACTGTACTATCCAGGGCTCCACTACTGTACTACTACCTACTGGCAGAGTGCTCGACTATGTAGCTAGCAGTAATAAGCTTACTACTATCAAACGATGTCCATTTGGCAGCCCTGAATGGTAAGGCCATATGTATATATATATACATGCACTACCCAAGGCTGTACATAGCTAGCTAGTAATCGCAAATATAGGATGGACACAAATAGATTAAAATATAGACGCCAGGTCGTAGCTCAACCAACGGTGCGCTGGTTACTTGGTCGCAGCGGCGACTTCGCCAAACCCGCGCTGCGACGTGGTGCTGCTGTCTTGAATCAACTCTATAGACGGGACCATGAGACGATGGTCAATTCATGCGACTGGGTCGTACGAGTGCGAGGTGTTCGCGGGATGAACGTGTTGATCAGGTGCGACGACGCATTGCCAAAGGCCGTGCGGAATATGCGATACACAAACGACACGATCGGGATGGACTCGAGCACTGTGTTCAAGTCCCAGTGGTCCGTGTGCTTGATGATCTACATGGGAGATCGACGATGAGAAGAGGCGACGACGCTTCTGGATGGCATCTACCTGTTGATCTTCCAACTCGACCACGGTAAACATGCGGAACGTGCATCCAAGGTACGACGGGAACGGCTTGAAGCGGAACGTTACCTTGCTACATGACGGGGTAGTATCGTCGAGATACACATGTGGGGACGGACTACCTGTCAATCGTCAATACGCTGACTCCCGCCATGGAGCCACGGATCAACTCGGCTTGCGACTTGGAGATCACAGAAGGGATCGCACGAAAATGCGCAGCAACGTTTTCGCGGCCGTGCACTACGGCGAGGATATGTTAAGGCCGCGCGGTTGCAGTGGTGTTGTGCGTACGTACCTTCGACCCACGGGTCCGAGAACGATGCGTCCGGGTGATACAGCTCTTGCACAATTGCATCCGAGTCCGTGGCGCGGTCATACATGGAGAGGATCTTGAGCGTCATGGCTTGCGCCATGCCCATCTCACCGCCCTTGGCATTGTTCTTGCGTCGCGCCGTCACAGCCATGTTCGTCTTTGTCAGGCGGTTGGAAAATGAGAGTGTTCATGCAGAAGCTACGACAGTGTGGTTGGATTGATATTTTTTAAACGCTCGAATAGAGTCGATTTCAACGGTTGAATTCAATTGTATACAAATATCCATATTGAATTGTTATGGATCATATAATCACTGAGAAACACACTTTGTTTTTAATTTGGTAAGGTATGACTTTGATTCATGCATAAATTGCATCCTGGGTTCACGTTCCCGAATCTATTCTAAATATCCGGATAATAAGATCTACGTTTTGTTAATCCTGTTAACCCGTTAAGCCGCAGTCAAATGCAGTGCCGACCAAACAAGATACAGCTTCAAGGATATACGTATCGTGAATCTAGCATTACACAATAAATGAGGTAACGTTACACTAAAGTGGCGTTTCTTTGCCATAGTACAGCGATATCGTCTACAAGTTTGACGATAACGTTAACGAGCCCTAGAAATGAACACCACCTATTAATAGTGTACTCGGTTAAGAGCATCTCCAACGTTCGCACCTTCTGTACTACTGGTATAGTACTGTTATCTCCACCGCATCCCCAAATATCGATGTCCCTATCCCCAAAAGTCGCATGAAAAACTCGCATAACATTATATATTGTAACCTTGAGTTGTAACGGTTACACAATTATTTAAAATGGTCAAATCCAATACAGAACTTAAGTGTAAAAGAATGCTTCATTAAAGTGAAAACTTAAGAACAAATTAATATTTTTCATAAAATAGAAAGGGTCGTGGATGGTCTCGACCACTGTGAAGAAATTGGGCGACCACATTGCACTAATAATGTAACGTTAGGGTATTCGGAAGTTTACGATTAGTTCTCATCAAATGTGATTAATCTCCTTATCTAGTGTGAATCTATACTTCTCCAAGACTTCATATAACCCTTTCATATAAGTACCTCCGTAAAGCTATATTTGGTCGGGCTGCAAAAATCGGGGGATGACTGTGCAGTGGGTACGGAAAGTTTAAGTCCAGCTGCACATATTTTCTATTTTTGGAATATCTCACAAGATATTTGGAGAGCGACGATCGAAAGTGTTCGTTGGAAAGCTCCTGCGTTAACCAATCAAATGCGAGAATGAAATCGACGAATGTTTTGACCAATAAAAACTTACCGTGGAACGAACAAAGTACCACTGTCCAAAAGTTTAAGTCCAATTTTGGAAAAGGCCAAAAAAACTTGAAGTCATTAAGCATTAATACTTCGTATGGCCACCTTTGGCTGCAATAACCATTTGCAATCTCTTTGGCATAGAATGGATCAAATTCCGGATGTAATCCAACGGAATTTCATCCCAGAATTTCTCAATTTTCAATTGCAGGTTTCCAAGCGAAGATTCGGGCGATACTCGAAGTTTCCGAGCAATTTCTTCCCAAACATGCTCAATGGGGTTGAGGTCGGGGCTTTGGGGGAGGTGGTCAAGCGTTTGAATAGCGTTTTCGTCAAAAACAAACCATGACAATGTTGGCCTTATGGATCGGTGCGTTGTCTTATTGGAAGACAAAGTCGAGGGGCAAGACCAATTTGGCAAAGTTGTCCGGTAATTGGTCCTCCAGAAGCTCCAGGAAGTCCGCACACATCATTTTTCCGTCGATAACAACTAATGTCCCAGTTCCATTCAAGCCAATAGCACCCCACACCATGACAATCTGCCGTCCGCTCTTGAACGTTGGGACAACACAGGCGTCCAAGATATCCTCACCAGGATTTCTCCACACGTAAACGCGCCCGCAGGACCCAGTTAGGTTAAAGGGACTCTCGTCAGTAAACATAACCTTCTCCCATTCCTCTGGCGTCCACGTTTGGTACTTCTTGGCAAACGCCAAGCACTTCGTTCGGTTCAGTTTTGACAAGAAGGGCTTCTTGCGTGCGGCCCGACCATTAAGACCAGCAGAGGTGATGCGATTGCGAATGGTTGTTCGGGATATGTCTTTGTCATGGAATATCGCAAATGTTTCTTGTAGCGTTTCCGCGCTGAGGCGACGGTTTTGTTTGACGGCACGAACAATGATGCGGTCCTCGTGCTCAGTGGTCACTCGTGGGCGTCCAGATCGTGGTGCAGCATGCAAAAGACCAGTTGATTTGAATGCCTTGATTATCGTCTTAACGGACGACCTAGGCATGGCTAGCGCTTGTGGGATTTGTGCATTTGTTCGGCCATCCTGGTGCTTGGAAACGGGTATGGAAAGTTTAAGTCCACCTGTCAAATTTTCAAATTATTATGATTTCACAAATATTCATTTCCTGGATGTGACTTTTGGTGCATTGGAATCACGATTTAATTGGCTATCAAACTCAATCAGTCTGGATGCTCAACTGTAAGTAATACATTTACAACTTTGATTCCAATAAAGTACCACTGTCCAAAAGTTTAAGTCCAAATCACGGCAGGAGGATAATCATGATGACAACGGTACGAAATCGTCGCCTAAATCAAATACATCATTATTGAATTGTTTCCAAACACAAACACAAGCTTTCAGCACACGCACGCGCTCCCAACGCTACTAATGGGCAAGTCCAAGCAGCACCCTCCGGAGGTTCGGGCGTTGGTTCTGAGTAAAGAAGTACGGGTGAATTTACAGTTAATTTTAATTCCGGATGAAAATCGTCGACTCAAAAAGGTATGCGACGGTTTTGGAAGTCTCCCAGTGTAACGTTTACTTGGTGGTTCACGAACAAATACGAAACATTACAGTATCTAGTATATACTAACAGTAAGGTAATGCGTCAATTGTTGACATGGCACCACTGCCTGACTTTTAGCCAATAGCATCTCGATATTTCGTGTTGGCCTTGTATGATTGGATACGATAATATTCGTCTCTATATTTTATTACACATCTCCATGTAGAAGTCTGGTCAGCTTTTTTCAATCTCAAACAATAAATTACAAGTATATAGATAGAATGTCATCTAGAAACCTTTGACGCTGTCCCGCCATACATGCCTATGAGAGCAGTTGTGCATAGCTACGTGATACATGGAAGAACTCACTTTAGAGCCATTGCTACCACAGACAAAGAAGCAGCAGCGTATTGCTCCTCGTAACGAATGGATGGCCTCCACTGTTGTGATCCACAACAATGAATTAAAATATGTTGCATTTTTTTAGGCTAAACTTTTACTACGTAGTGTTGCGTATTGCGAAATGCATGCAATTATATTTTAGATCAAATTATTTTGCATATTAATTTAATCAAATACAAACATCAAGGTTTTTAAGGAGTGTCATGAATTGGTTCACCTCAAAAATCGTGACCATAAAGCTCAAAATATTTAATATCGATACAAATCTGAAGTGTAGTCCAATCATGCTCAATGATACGTCAAAAAATGGTGGCGTTTTATATTCTCTTGTGGTGCTATTAGCATTAAAATAATTGTTCTCGTTCTCGAGCTACTAGGATTTGAAGTAATGGCCAAAACTTGACAAAAAACAGTGTCAATAATTGATGCATTACCGTACTAGTACTGCTAACCAAAGTGAAGTTGAGATGAACGTCATGAAATTGCAACACGAGTAGAACCTCGCATGCACTACACATGTTGCCATCACGAAGACAACTTCATCCAAGACACTGGTTTGGACGATGCAAGTGGTAACATACTAGTACTAAGCGAGAATTTGGTCATTACGTTACATTGTGAATAACTGGACAAGATTTGATGTTAATTTTTATGTTGGTGCAATCATGCATGTACAGTACACTACTTCGATGTATAACGTTATGCTTATGAGTGAGGCACGACGAGTCCGACGAGTATGGGATGGCGAATGGAGGGAGAGGAATGCGAGTTGCACTAAGCATGTGGTGGAGAGATGGAGGAGAGGCAACCAACCTACCGGTACACCCCCCTAAGCTAACACCATCGTGGCTCCTGGGCCTACTGTACTAACGCCATAATGTACCATTAATGTGTGTTGGGTAGCTGTTGGTTTTAGGAACCAATTTGTCTTAACGTTAGTCGTACATGGGTACCGTACCGGTACACCATTCCCATGCATAAGCCACCAGTACAGTAGTTCAGGCAATGACGTTAGCCAGTCCTTGGACACTAACTATGACGATCACACCTCCAACTTGAGACGATATCGACATGCATTTGTGACGCTCAACGAACCTGAATTTGTGCGTATCAAAAACTTTAATCCAGTGTTTCGTCGTATTTTTCTATACTTGAAGCACCATACAAAATCCAGCATAGAGGAAAATCGATGTACTTCCGTTTTACGAATCATAGAGTTTCGTGACTGCATCTGTCAATCTGTTTCTATTTGTTTCGTAAATTGTGTACTAACGCTATTAATATTAATAGTTTGTCTATCTATTACTAGTACTACGTAGTACTACGTAGTAATATTGCAATATTTCAGGTTGCATCCTATTTACTGTAATGTTAGAGGTTTTTAGACTTCGTAATAAGAACCGGACAATCCTCAAACCGAACTTAACAGGGATGTAGTTTGTGCACTCAAAGCACATACATACTACGTAGTACAAGTAAGTAAGTACAGTACCCCGGCGACATGAGGATTCGTTACAATCTTAACGTTACTGTAGTACCGGTACAGTGAATTCTTATTAAATTAATACTGTACACTGTGTCAATGAAACGTCGCCTTGCAGCAAGGTATCGACAGTGATTAACCCCCTTATGTCGATACTTATCCTATTTCCCCCAAAGCACTTGGATGCAAAGTGCAAACAAAGCTCAACGTCGACGCAATCTTGCATCCATGCACTCACATGTTTCTACAACGTTTGACATTTCACACCGAGTTTGAAAAGACGCGCCCAAATTAAAATATTTTTGACCTTAGAAATTGATTTCCATCAAATTATTCCCAGACATTTGTAAGCTGCTACGACGTAATACTATAAACTGGTACATTTGAAAAGTATTTTAAATACTGTGCCACCCCGTATACGCAAACGTTTACGGGTTTTTCATGGCTGGGTGTGATGATGACATTCAGTCTGGGTTCAATTGCCAACTCGACCTCCTTTGCTCACACCGCGCCACCATGGAGCAGCTACATGCCGTCCTCCATAGCTACAATACCCTAAGCACCTTGGAGCCCACATGGGCGGCATGGACTGCGGACTTGTCTCCGTTCGACTTGGCCTTCACGTACACGGCAGTGGTGTCGTCGGCCGCGCTGTTTGGCGGGTCGTTTGTATACTTCATCTTGGATTACCAACCCAGTCTCCGCAAGTACAAGCTGCAGCCTACTCGGTTGCCAACGTTGGGGTTGTACTGGAAGTGCTTGAAGCTATCAGTGCTCAACCAAGTGGTGCTGCATGGCGCAGTGTTGGCCGGGCTGTTGTACCTGTGGGGCCACTTGGCGACGTTCTCTGCGTCCGCGCCACTTCCAGTGCCCACCACGATCCTGTACGAACTGGTCATGTTTGTGTTAGTCGAGGACGCGACGTTTTACTGGGTCCATCGGGCATTGCATTGGAAAAAGGTTTACAAATACGTTCACAAAGGTACGCATACCATTGCTCGTGTTTCTTGTCGAGTATTAATCACAGTTGGGTACTTAGTGCACCACGAGTTCACGGCGCCATTTGGTTTAACGGCCGTGTACACACACCCTGTGGAGGAATTGGCGACGATCCTGGCGACGCTAGCTGGCCCGTTGATCTTTGGCAGCCACATCTTGTGTCTGTGGGTGTGGCTGGTGCTTCGGACGATTGAAACGATTGATTCCCACTCTGGCTACGACTTTCCATTCACTTTGGGCCACTTTTTTCCATTGCTCAGTGGCCCAGCACGTCATGACTATCACCACGAGAAATTCGACTGCAATTATGGCTCCACGTTGGCATTTTGGGATTGGTTCTGCGGTACCGACAAGGCCTTCCGAGCACTACAGTACGAAAAGGCTAGTAAAGGCGAACGGGCGTGGTTTGACGTGTTTGACTATTGCACGCAGATCATGGCCAAGACAAAGGATATATGAAAAAGGGATGTAATTTCGGTGGAGTAAATCACGAAGAACCCGCTCATACGTGCAGTATCTTTCGGGGTACTACTGTAGTTTGATGTTCAACCGTTCGTTCCAACTTGCTGCAAAATGGTACTAGGTAGTACTACTGTTGCAAGTAATGGAGGGAAACAGGGACAGGAACGTTGAACTGACCGAGTAGCCCACTATTAATAGGACTGGCAAAAAGCAAACTGACTCATACCGATGATGTAAAGCTGTATAGAAGGATGTGTGGCATCTCCATATAATTGTTGACAACGAGTCGTTTAATAGCTCCACTTCGGTCCACGAGCTCGACATAGGACTGCTGCCGGTAGACTGGATGCTCTGGAACTTGTAATAAGTTGATATGCTGTGGAAAGCACACATCTGCTACTGTACAGTACATGATATGCTTCTGACGTAGCTCGTAGAAATTTGCCCACCCACTGGCGGATGGGGTCCTAGTTTCGTGGACGACAACATGGCAGACACCATGGAATGAGATATGGCGTCTCGTTCGCGGGAACCCGATACATAGTATTCGAGCACTAAAAATAGATTTTATCGCGTAGCACTACAGTACACTGTAGAGTACTACTAGTACCGGTAGTATACTCGACGTATATACGTATGGTAGTACTCCGGAGTGTGAGTTTTCGTCAAACGTCAAAGAACACCATGAGCCCAATCGCATCCAGCACTGAGAGCACCACTCGAGTCAGCCCTGCCACGACCGCATCTCCCACGGTGACACCCCCGTCTTCCAAGGTACAGTACATGTGTCCAACCTGAATTCGATTGTGATCACATGCCAACGCGTAGACGGGGACTTGTTGCAATGATTCAACCTATTCCAGCCATTTGCACCGTTTGAACTACCGTACCTTTCGATTCAACGTTGGAGTGGTACTCTGCTGTGACCACCCTGTTTCTAGTCTATTCAAAATTAATATTTCTATGTGATGTTGGAGGAATATAATTTTATGGGAGTTCTTCGTGGCAATCAAACTCAAATTGAAATCATACAAGTACATTTCTAGGGCTTGCGATGGGACGGTCACGGCATAATGGAAAGTGAATAGAGGTGTCAATGTCAGTTTACAAGCTCAAGTTTGCATGCTGAAATCTGCAGGAAGTCGCTTCAAGTTTGCTCGTCAGTTATCGCGTCGTCGAGAACCATTACTTCTGATAGGATATTTATGTCTAGAGGCAATGAATATCAAATTTTCCAGTGGTACTCCTGGCTGTACCACTCCAACATTGAATCGAATGGTACGGTATACAATGTATGGTTACCATTGGGGTGAATCGCCTCCGTTCTGTCAATCGTTTTTTCGTTGTATTTTTTAACAGCGGAGCGTACTTGCAAGAGATACCTTTGAAATCAAATAAACCTGTACCACATGATATTGAAAATTCATTCGAAAGTGCTAACTGGTCTGGATGCCACCCCATAAAATTATGCCATAACCCGTTTTGGCAAGTCTGCAAAAATTTCCCAAAGTCTCATATCCCGTGAAGAAAAGGAGAAAAGAAGTAATAATATCTACAAAGTTGTCTCAATGCCAGTTGAATTTTGGAAAAATTATTCGATTTTCGATTGAAGTGCAAGACTTCAACGTGAACACAAACCAACCTCCATAATAAAGTTGGACCAAATTATTTATGCCATAAAACACCCGATTCTCAAGAAAATTGTGGCATAAATTTTTGAACTTTGGTGGCATCCAGACGCACAAAGTTTCGAAATATGGAATATTATTTCGATTTTGGCAACTTTTCTTTAAAAATTATGCCATTTTATGCCATTTTTCGTGGCATCCAGACCCGCCCTTAGAATAGCCAATCAAATCACTAGAAAAATGATACTCCGGAGTATCACAACAAATAAGCAAAAACAGCATACATACTGTATCTTACTGTAAGATTAAACCATGCACCATAAACGTTTGGCCTTTGACTTGACTGGAAATTGAAGTAAATGAACGCTAAGCTAAAAAATCAGAAGCATGCCCGATATTTCGGCTTCATGCAGTACTTTTTAGACTTGAAATCCCTGAGAGACGAGTAAGCTGCATTCCACGACGAGGTCTCTTACAAGTGCACCATAAATTGATCATCTACATTATACTAAGCTTACATGCACCGCTACGTTAGGGTAGCCTCCATTGGAATGTCGAAAGTCCGATTTACTGGTATAGTATACGTACAGTACTGTATCGGTAGTACAGTACTCTGTAGCTTTCACATCCAGGACCTTGATCGTGGATATGGTGAGGCAGGTAGCGTTATCCAACAAAAATACTACTATTAAGGTTAGGACATAGTACCATTAACGATGACCAACGTTAGATTGTTCGAATTTGGACCTGCAGTAAGTAACGTTATTATTAATAATAGTAACGTTAAGCTTAATTTGCCGAATCATTAAATAAGCTTGGCCATATTATACCATTCAGTATTCAGTATATAAATGATTTGCCCAATGCGGAGTTACAGGGCGAAATAGGTCATTTCGAGTGGTTCTAAAAGTGCCAATTCCATTGGCCAATTTTTGAGCGCACCTAAACTGTCCCGTGCATCATACTAACATGTAACGTTACAGTAAACTGACCACCTATGACGTTAACGTTAATGTTACTGGAGAAAGTTACTGCACATAGGATGCTACTGTGCCGCTAAGTGATGCTACTGGTGGCCATCCCTCCAATATACCCATGCATGCAGGATGCCTGACATAGCGACGCTACAGCCAGAGTATCATGTACTATTAGCATGCCAACGAGTGGAGATGCTCTTAGCATCTCCACCGCGCCCAGTATTATGAGTGTCGAATTACTACGTACTATTAGTGCTAAATACGCAGTACCGGTATAACACAAAGCAGCGACACAATTCCGTGGATATCTCCATCTAACGGTTGATTGGCTACAATAATAATCCCTGCCTGTTGATTGGCTAAAATGAAGTCTCCAGTAATCCGAGTTGATTACCATTATTGCGTCGCTAGAAACAACACTGTGGGTAGTATTATTCATCCATTTCCAAAGCTCACAACTCATCCCGACGACGACCACCACCACCACCGCCATGGACCTAGTACTGGACTACGCAGACAAGGCCTTCCTCACAGAGCATGTGTACCCGTCATGGATGGCGGAAGATGACATCGGCCGGCAATGCCTGTCGCTATTTGCGATCACGTCGGTCGGCGGGTACGCTTTGTATCTTAGCTTTGCGCTCGTGAGCTACGTGTTCATTTTCGACAAGAGCTACGAGAAGCACCCCAAGTTCCTCAAGAACCAAGTGCGTCTCGAGCTGCAAGTCGCGTGCGGGTCCATCCCGTTCATGACGCTGCTGACTCTGCCTGTGTTCCTCGCCGAAGTCCGCGGCTACAGCTTCCTCTACGATGACGTCAGCGACTACGGGTACGCGTACCTGGCGTTCAGCGTGGCCATGTTTATGTTCTTCAACGACATGATGATCTACTGGATCCATCGCCTGCTCCATCACCCGCTCGTGTACAAGCATATTCACAAGCTGCACCACAAGTGGCTCGTGCCGACGCCATTTGCCAGTCACGCGTTCCACCCCGTCGACGGATTCCTTCAGTCGACACCGTATCACATGTTTGTGTTCTTGCTCCCGTTGCACAAAGGTATGTATATAATATATATATATATATATTATATATATATATATATATATATATATTCTATATATGTATATTGTCCTTTTCAAAATAATTTGGACTTTTTTGTGAGCTGATTCGCACCAAATCTCATTGTATCGATCGATTCATTGTGCGGACTTTTCGATGTAAAAAAAAGTGTCCTGTGGGGATATTGGGATCACACTAATTGAAGTCACACACTAATTTGACACTGATGGTGGTTTCCTGCAATCTGATTGGCTCGAATACTATCTTTGCCGATGCTTCTGTCCATTATGTGTTTGTTTGTGTCGATTGATTCTCCATTTGTCGCTCCAGTTTAGAATATAAACACTCTACAATACAGTATCACGTAGTGGGCGAGTTATTTGCTTTCGTCCCTGGGGTGTGTCTAGCATATATGTCGCTTTGCGCTGTATATATATATATATGTATATAAATGCAGTTTGGCTGTTTGTGTTACCTTTGTATACATTGTCGCAGGAGACTCTTTTGAGTTCGTACTTACAGGACTATAACCTTTTTGCGTAAATGTTTTAACATTTTCAGATATTTATAAATATTTTATATGTTTTCTTGTAATCTAATATATATTCCATATTTTCACTCGTCATCATCATTACTCACGAAAGAATAATCTCGTTTGATATGTTTTCAATTACGTATCCCCACCTTCCGTTACTTTATTATTCCAAAGTACTTTTAAAATAGTAGACCTTTTTATTCGATGTGTCAACCTATTTAATTAAATCCACCTTCGGATGGTTTTAGTTTTATATCTAACCAAACTCATCCCCATCTTTGTGTAGTCGTGTACTTGGGTTTGTTTGTACTCGTGAACTTTTGGACGATTTCCATCCACGACGGCAACTTTGTCATGGACAAAATGCCAAAATGGTTCGAGATGCTCGTAAATGGCGCCGCACACCACACCGACCATCACTTGTACTTTGACTTTAACTATGGCCAGTACTTTACGCTGTGGGACCACGTCGGTGGGTCCTACCGATCGCCCAGCCCGTTCGACCAGAACGGCCCCCTCGATGATGTCAAGCGCTTGCAGCAAGCCCGTTCCAGCTGATTGTTATAGTTAAACGTGAATATTATCAAGTAAGGTGGTAGTCCATTGGCTACCAACTACTTCGTCGACTATGACTTTTGTCAACATTATTACAGCAAGTAAGTATGACGTAGTACGACTTTTTGTAGTCATTTTGTGGCCACAACAAAAAACTTGTAAATCCCTTGGATGGTGACGACACTACTTGGCCCCCAAGTGTTACTTGGAATTCATGTAATAGAAAACTTGTGACATGGGGCGACAAAATCTGCGTGCAAAATGAAGTCTCTGGTCCAAATCCATTCACGAGTCAAAACCCAATCAACGTGTTGCCTTGTAAACACAAGGTTCCGACGACCCCTTGGACACTACACATCTGCTAACGTTACCGGTAGTTTTACTGGCAGCAGTCTCGTAGCTAGACTCAAAACAGCGCGACACACGCCAAGGCTGCGTCAAACAGACGGACGAGTGCTGGAATGTCTCCAAAGTGAGTTTGCACAAACGCTGTCAACTCGGCGGACGTGGTGGCGATCTTGGGGGTCAGCATTTCCGGACTTCGCATCGTGCGGTCTCGGATAGCCACCAACGCCAGGCGGGGATATCGAACCAGTCGCACTCCCGTGAGAAATGGACCGTAGCGGGGATCCGATCGAGATTGCACGATCGACGCGCGAAAAAACGAATACGGCACCGGTCGGTAAGCGTCAAACGTCATAGCCGTCTCCCATCGCTCAATCTTTTCTTCGTCCCTTCCCCCTGTCGCAGTTGCTGTCTCCTGACATTTCGCTCGCTGTCGATGCTGCACAGACACAACTGTCGTCGTGTGCGGCGAGTTGGAAGGTTCATCGTTGGCGGCAACGACTTGCGTGATCAACCGCCACGCCCAGCTGGCGTCGCCTACTTCATGCGTTGTCGTATCGTCCAAGGCACATGGCATGTACGGCTTGGCATTGCCGCAGTCGACAAAAATCAGCGTCGAGTCAAGCTCACACACCAGACATACGTGGCAGCCAGTGCGCCCAGCAATCGTGGCCGCCCGAAACGACACTTGAAACTGCAGCGCAGTCAGCAATGCGTGCAAAAACGCATTCACCACGGCACACGGGCCTCCCAGTCCCATCATCATGTCATGGACGATTTCATCCCAACTCGGGGGCCGCCGGGGGCGTGTGAGCAGCGTGAGGTTGTGAAACGGAATATGCTTGTGCATGGCCTCGACAATGCAGTGCAACAGTTCGGGCGTCGGGGGGGCCGACGTCTTTGTCAAGTCGAGATGCAGCCGCGTCGACAGAAATAAGTCGACTTGTACGATTGTGAGGCGAATGGAAGGACCTTCGTCCGCGCCCTGTTGACGGCGTGCGTGTTGTCGACGGACACACGATGCCACCGACGGGGGAAACAACGCCGAAAAGTGCGTGGCGTATGCGTGCTCTTCATCGCCAGGAATCCACGATTGGTTCTCAAACCCCTTGGCGAATTCCACTTTGCGTCTCCCCAGCACGTCGGGGGGCAAACCATACCCTTGAAACGCAAGCCGCAACACTTGCTTTTCCAGTCGATCGGGAACGTCCAGCATCTTTTGTTGGGGGGGGATGCACTGCATGGCCACGTGCACCACGTGGAGATCCAAAAACGGCACCCGCGCTTCCAAACCAAACGCCATCGTACATCGATCGACCCGAAGCAGCTCGGACGAGCCAATGTGCATGAGCCGTCGGGTCAGTTCGCGTTCAAAGTCCAGGACAATCTTATCGTCGGCTGCAGTCGGCGAACCTAGCGGACAAGTTCGCTGGAACTGGCGAAATAAGTCGTACCCTGCAAACAACTCGTCGGCGCCTTCTCCACACAGCACCACCTTGAGATGCGGATGATGCTGTCGCAGGCGCTGACTCAGCAGGTACATCGCCAATCCTGCTCGCATACACCGCTTGTCGCTTGTTTCCATGTGGTAAATGACATCAGGCAGTGCCGCCTGCGCTTCGAGGGGCGTAAATGCATACTCAAAGTGGTCGCTGCCAATCGCGTTGCTGACCTTGCGCGCCATATCCCGGTCCGCCCCAACCCAACACTCCGAGTTTGACCCACTGGGCTTTCCCCCCTCCTCCCCCTCTGCGTTGTCGGTGCAATAGATGGTAAATGTCTTGAGTTGTCGAGAAGACGGAAGTTTTCGGGTTGCAATCGCTGCAATCAGGCTAGAGTCCAGTCCCCCCGATAGAAACACGCCCACTTCGCAGCCATCGTCTGCGTCCTTGAGTGTCAATTCGACGTCGTCGTTTCTTTCCCACGGAACCCCGAGTCGCTTCGCCACTGCTTGCTCCAACGCGGTTCGAATTAAACGCCCGAGGAGTTCGTCCGCCACTTCGTCAGCAACCACATCCTCAACGTTGGTTTTGATCGATGGCTTGAGTTTGTCCACACGAGGAACCACATCGTCTTGACAAGTTCCGGCCGAGGGCATCGCTAGCGATCCTAACGACCACGGGGGAGAAAAGTACCGCTGGGTCATCGCAGGGCCAAGTCCACCATCACGTGTTGGATGCCACACCATGTACGACCCCGCAGGTACTTCGTCTAACGTTGGCTGGAGCCTTTCGTTTTCCATCAATGTCGAAAAGCATGCTGCTTTCATTTCAGACGCGCACTCCAACGTCGTGGCTGTCGTCGCCACAAACAGCGGCTTGATCCCAAACGGGTCCCTTGCGCAGATGATTTTGTCCACATCGCCGGTTGCCGCGTCTACTTGCACCAGCATGAACGCAAACATGCCATCGAGGGCGGCTAGGGCGGCGTCGAGGCCCCAAAGATGGATACTTGTCAGGATCACTTCGATGTCGCAATGGTGGGACTGGAACGAATAGGCACCCGGGGGGATCGCTGCACGAAGCGTTCGGTGGTTGTACACTTCCCCGTTGCATACAAGAAACATCTCGTGGTCGTCGTCGGTTCGGCAAGAAAATGGATGGGGACTCGAGTACAACGGGTCGACGATTGCCAAACGCGTCTGGAGGACGGCCAACGACATCGAGGGGGTTTCGACAGTGAGCTGGGACGTCGAATCGGGCCCCCGATGGACTAGCTTTGCATGGGCTTGTTGGAGTCGAAGGGTTGTCGAACGAGTCAAATAGTCGTCGTGGGGCTGTGGATTGGCAGGAGAACAGTATGTACGGTAGAGTCCCCATATCCCACACATCGTAATCTCCCCAAAAAAGATAAACTGTGTGGCGTTGACTGATTTTGTGCGACAGGGCGGACAGGTTTGTCCACCATTACACCAACAAAAGGATTATTTCAGACGAGCTTTCTGCTTCTCGTTTATATCCAACTAGTATTCTGTAACGTTCAGAATCGTAAGGTTTAGACAATGCTACAGTTCAGCGTTGAAGGAAATATTCACCACTTTGATGTATTATCGTGTTAACGAAGCAAAACTTGCAAAGCTCTGTTTATGGCGTTGCAGTTGGTTGTGTTGCACTAGCCGATAGGAAGCACGAGGACACCATCTACACGTATCTGCATATTACTCAACCGTCGCCTGCATGACAACTTGACCGTCCTCATTATGGGTTGCAACCACCGTTAAGACTTTTGCGAATTGGGTGGCGGATACTGCCAAGGTATCCAGTGGCACAGACTCGTTGGGTCGATGGATGTTGGTGAGTACATCGTTCATGCCCAACGCGACATAGTCAACTTGTGGGCCAAACAGATAACGCCGGTATGGGCACGTCTTGCCGCCCAATTCTTTATTCAAAAAGCGCTCCACCACATGCACCTGACGACCCCCGTCGTCGGCGTGGGCACTGGTTTCCACCGCTGCCACAACCTTGCGCATCAGCTCACGGTTGTGGTTCTGAACCACCAGCAGGCGCTGGTCCCCGTTCGCTTCAAAGTAGCCCGTTTCGTCCATCCACAGCGCGATCGAATCCTTCAAGTTGGGGAATTTTGCGTACAGGGTTGGAAACACCTGATGGGGGAAGCCATTGCCTGTCTCTTCTTCGCCGTGTAAGACCCAGAAAAGCCCCGGACACGGTGCATCCTCCGACATACTCGCCAACACCAGCAAACGTTGTAGCAGCGGCCCCAAGTTGTCCCCCACGCCTCGGCAATACACGCGGCGGTCGCGGATCGTGGGGACCAGTGGGTCGCTTGCCCATTTGAGGGGGGAGGTGGTCTCGACGTCCCAGTGACCGCACAACCCAACCCACGTCCGAACCCCTGGCGATGGACTCCGAATCGCAGCCAGAACTATCGACCCCTCTCGCCCCGATGGGTTTTGAATGCGGTGGACGGTAAACCCCAAGCGGTCCAGCTCCGTCGCCAACAATGAGCCAACTGCCGCGACCCCCCCTGGGTTCGTTTCACTCATCGGACAAAGCGCCAGCCAGTCCGCCAACTTCGTCATCCACGCGTCTTGCAGCGCCCACCCTTTTATCTCCATGATCTGGTTTCAGCAAATGAACAATCGGGGGGGTTCTAGTGGAACTGTCTAACGGGATGTTCGGATTCAAATTTTAGATTCCCAAAGTATATGCTACTTACTCGTCACGTTTATAAACTGCTCCGTATTTCCGACAGGCCACCTGGTTCTTTGTACAACGGGGCCACCACCAACAAACGAATTTGCACGTTGTTGCCCACTCCATCTCGAACAGTCTGCATTATGTCGTTTGAAGGACTTAGCATTGCCGTTACGGGCGGCGCTGGCTTTATCGGGTCGAGTCTGGTGACCCAGCTCCTCGCACTCCACGCCACTCACGTCATGATCATTGACTGCTTGACGCCGGACTACGACGTTGCGATCAAGCGAGCCCGCATTGAATATGCGTTGACGGACGAGCGATGCTCGTTTGAACAAGTCAACATCTGCGACCGCGCCCGCCTGCTGGATGTGTTTCGGACCCATCAACCGGTGGTGGTGTATCACTTGGCCGCCCAAGCCGGCGTGCGTCGCTGCGAATTGTCGCCAGCCTTGACATGCGCCACCAACGTGGAAGGGACCGCGTCTGTGTTGCATACGTGCAGTGCCACTCCGTCTGTGAAGTACGTCGTGTTTGCCAGCAGCAGCTCCGTCTACGGCAACCAGCCCACCCCTTGGAACGAGTTGACGACCCCCATGGACCCCCAGAGTTTGTACGCGCGGACCAAAGTGATGGGCGAGCAGTTGTGCCAACAATTTGGGGCCAAGCATGAAGGAAACAAGTCGGTTTGCATCTTGCGGCCATTTTCTGTATATGGGCCCCAAGGTCGCCCTGACATGGCGATCGCCAAGTTTGTGCGAGCGCTGCGCCACCGCCAACCTATCACGTTGATCGGAAATACCCAACGAGATTGCACTTTTATCGATGACGTTGTCCAAGCGTTTGTATTGTCTGCGCTAGTCCAGCGACCGCATCAGGAACGATACAAACAGCAGCATCAACTTGTATCTGCGACTGGGGAAAGCAACATAAATCAAACCCCACTGACTCGTACGTTCAATGTGGGCACAGGTCATACCACGAGTATGGAGGATGTGCTGCAGCAAATTCAACGTGCGATGCGGCAGGTCCCTGTGGAGGTATTGCACGCCCCCGCTAACCCCGTCGATGCCATAGTCACGAGGGCAGATTCGGTCGCAGCGTCGAACGAGCTCGGGTTTCGTGCATCAGTGCATCTGTCGGAGGGCATCGTCAAAACTGTGGCGAGTGAACTGCATGACCCGCCGATGCACATTGCGGTGGTGGTGGCGACGACCGACGGGGGGCGCTTCGACTTGCTGACCAAGCGCTGCCTGCCTAGCATTTGGAACCAAACGCGCCCCCCAGACTCGATCGTCATCGTGGCCGACACTTCTTGTGAAGATGGGTTCACCAACGACCTCCATGCGTTTCTAAGAAACTCCCCTGGAAACGTGATGTTGCTCTTCAACCATCGCACGCTAGGTGCATCGGGTGCGTGGAACACTGGCATTTTGCACGTGTTGTCCGCCATCCCCCCAGGGGGGGACATGAGTCGCATGTACATTGCCATTTGCGATGACGACGACATGTGGTCATGTGACCACTTGGCTCTCATGGATCGCCATCGCTCGGACGTTGTGGTGGGGGGACTCATTCGCTACGAATCAGACGAGGGGGAAGGAAAACCCTTGTCAATTCCTCGGTTGCCGTTGTCGTCGAACGCGTTCTTGAGCGGCAACCCCCACCTCCAAGGCTCCAATTTGTACGTACGACTTTTGGTTCTGCTTCAAGCTGGTCTGTTCGACGAGGGGCTGAACGCATGCACGGACCGCGACTTGATGGTACGAGTGTTGGACTTGCCTGGGGTATCTGTGGAGTGTGTGGCCAACGGAGCCCACTCCGTGCATCACTTTGCCGATGCCTCGCGGGTCCGCTTGACCACTTGTGGCCACCGCAAACAGCTAGCGTTGACTGTGTTTTGGCGAAAACATGCGCATCGCATGACCAAAACTGTCCAAGGTGATTTCATGTGTCGAGCGGTCATGCTTTTTGGCTGGTCGCCCCCATCGCCACAAGTCACCCCTAACGAATCGACTACAACAAGTGTGCCCACACCACTTATTTCCCCATCCTGCGACGGCCGACTATCACAAAAGTACGCGCTGATTGTGGGCATTACCAGTGACAGCGGATCGTCGGCCGTCCGAGGCTTGCTGGAGGACTTGGTTGCCCTCTCATGTGCGTCACTAGTCAGCACCGATGTTGTTATCCTGGAAAACGGACCCAAAGCTTCGACTTTGCAGGCCACCATCACAACCTTCCAAGAATCACATGTTTTGCGTTGTCTGTTTGTGCCGTTGGATCAGCAGCGACAGGATATGGTGAGTGGCCTGTTGCCGCCAAATCAAACGTTTGACGTTCGAGCATCCATTGCCGAAACAAGAACGCGGGTGCAACTGTACACGAGTATTTTTGCCCACCAACTAGCTCCGCAATTGGGGTCGGCAGATTGCATTGTCAAGCCAGTCGTGTGGATCCTCGACGACGACAAGCGCCTGCCGCCCACGTTTCCGCTCCAAGCAGTCCTTCAAGCCCATGAATCAGACCCTACGATTGCGGTCGTATTGGGCGTCGATGCCCAATGCCCCCCGTTGCCCCCTGCATTTTGTGTGCGCACCCAACTGGTGGATATGCTATCGCACTTGCAGTTGTGCCTTCATACCCCACCTAGCGACCCCCTTGGGCCCCCCCAACCACCTGGTGCAACATCGCTTTCTGAAAAAGTGCAGGGCGATTACTATCACGACTTGGCAGGGTATAAGACATTGGAAACACCCATGTGGATGAATACGATGTCGACATCCCTCGCGCATTTTACGACGTTGGGGGAGTGTATGAACCAAATATTGAAGGGCTCGCTGGTCACCCGACCCCTTGCTTCGGACGACGATGTTCCCCCAACCCCGACGTTGACGTTGACGCCGTCGATTCATCGTGGGGGGTGTACGTTTGTGTTTGATTTGGAGTGTATGCTGGATGCCAACACGGCGCCTCCCTGTCATCGTCGGTCCGACATGGTGTGGAGTTTGCTTCAGCGCGATGTCCACCACAAGCGTGTGGTGCAATGTCGACAAGTGTGTGTGAACCACATTCGGCAGTCGATGCCGTCGAAAACCGACTTAATCGATGTCGCGATGAAGGATGTCGCGGGACATGCACTCTACCAAGCGTTGCAAACGGTGTTAGGCGACCCTGACATGACAGAGACGCCCTCATGGGTGGAGTTGTGGCCTCGGTTTTGGGAGCAGTACTGTGTCACATACAACCGCCGACGAACCGAGTTGCGAGCCAGCGTCGAGCGCATTCGAGGCTTGGTGTACACGATCAAGTCGCTGCTGCGTTGTCAAAGTGCCTGGTGGAACTCGTCAAACAACTCGTCCGACAATGATGTCATTGAAGGGGCCAAGGCTACCCTGTGGACAGCGTTGGAGTCGCTGACCCATCGATTTGATTCAGCATGGGAAGAACCCCTGTCTGTCGACGTAACGAACGACAACACGATGCGCGAACTCCACATGTGGTTCACTGCCGTACTGCCACGTCACCGGCATGACGATTGGACAAGGGCGCAACTGACATTGTTCCATAACAGCGTATACGAGCCACACCGCATTGAATCAGCTCGTGCGTGTGTGTCGATCCTATATCAAGTGCCCCCCGAGTCGTTGGAGTTGCTCGGTGTCGGGTACGAAGGGGTCACGTTTCACAATGGCAAGTCGATGGATGGGCAACGTGGCTGCTGCTGCTTTAAGTACATGGATTTGGCTGCGCTTCGGTTTCCAAACCACGTGTGGGATTCGCTCGTGGCTTTGTTGACAGAACCGACCAAGTCAATGCTAGGGCTGCGATGTGTGCGACGACGGGGATATCATGTATGCCTTGAAAGGGACTATGTGGATGGCACCGAGCTGAATCTGAACTCAAAGCGTGAGTGTGCCCCCGAGGCCCCCCTGTCATTTTTGGCGTGGTGTCGAAAGGCCAATATCACCTGTAGAAACGTCAAACCGCAAAACTTGGTTGTATCTCGAGAAACGGGGCAGCTGACGTTGGTCGATATCGGCATGGACACTGTCGTGCCGTGGACAAGCGAAGGCGAAGGGCACATGATGCGTAAAATGTACCTGTCGTGGGCCTGGCTCCATCGACATGACTTGGCCGCTCTCTTGTCGGCGTCCCATCATAGCCCCAAGATGCCAGAGCTCCAGGCCGGATTCAATCGGTTTCAATTGGCGTACAACCACATGTTGACCCCACAAGCGTGTGTTGATGATGCCGTCGCGTTGGTGGCACAGCTTGTTCCACCAGGGGGTGGCTCGCTGCTCAATGTGACGATAGACTGGACGTTGCATGCGCGGGTGCAAGCGATACTCCCGCACGCGCAAGGCGCAAAACTGGTCGTCCATCCTTTGGTCCAAGTGGGCAAGACGGAGCTCACTTTACACAACCCATTCGATACGATCACCTGTATCTGCGTTGTGTGTGCAGTGGACGACCTCACAATGCATCGAGTTCTGTTGGAGCTCCGAGCCAAGGTGGCTCCCCATGGTGTGGTGGTGCTTGCAATGTGCAATCCGTTTTTTGTTGCAGCAAATCCCAGCCCCCACGGTCTGTCGGATCGGTTTCATCGCTGTTTTGGTCGTCGCAACGACGACGTCGTCATGCCACGACCGTGGCATGTATTTGAGCATGCATTTTGGCGGGCAGGGTTGATGGTTGTGGATATGGCACACACAAAATCGGCGGACGTTGTAGCATTTGAGCCCGTGTCCGATTACATCGTGGTGCAGTTGAAACCAGTGACGACGTTATGCTTGTCGCCCTCTGTGATGCCAGCGGCAGTTGGGGGGCGTCCAAGCCATCGCGGGGAAACAACGTTGATGGCATCATGCACGTTGCTAATCAAGACTTGTGCGACAGAGCACTTGACGCTGGCAGCCCGCGTGCGACACCTTAAGGAGCAGCTCGAGGGGCCCCGGGCATTTGCTGAAACGTTGGTAATTGTCGACGGCTATCGTCGCGACAATGATAAGTCAAGCTTTGGCAAGCCCGAGTTTTTCGAACCAGAGAATGAGTTGGACGAAGAATACAACGACGACTTGGACTCGTTCGTTGATTCTACTCCACGGCCTAGCCTCGACACCCCACTGCATCGTGATACCGACAAGTTTGACTTGTGCGATGGGGACGCGGTCACCGACGAGTTGTCCAAGTGTCTGGCTGTCTGCCAAGAACTGCAACAAGAGGGGTGGATTGACAGATACCTGCACTACCAGCCTACGTCAGCCGAAGTGGTGGCGCTCAATTCCAAGTGGTTTGGACTGCACCATAACAACCAAACGCATACACGGACTCGCCGCGGGACGCTCGTGCAGGTGGCGTCGACGCTGGCAGGCCTGGAAGCGGCCACCAGTGAGTTTATCCTCCAGGTCGACTCGGATCTGATGGTGGGGCGTCATTCGTATTATCACTTGGACGACTACCTCGGGCAGGCCATGGCTATCTTTGCGCAGGACGAGCTCGCAATAAGTGTGGCTCTGGACACGTTTCGCTCACAACCACAGGGTGGTGGGCGACAACTACCCGGGGGTCCAACGTGGTGCGACCCAGACACTGGCACCCCCCACCGCGTTGAAGTCCGCGGCTGTGTCTTTTCGAAAGCGCGACTGATGTCCAAACTCCCTATGCCCCGCCCCCTTGGCCCCACGTTGGCGTATTTGAAATCCACCACGGTGACCCAATATCATTCTGTATGTAAGGTTGACCCCCAGCACTGGCTACTGCCGTGGTACCGAGCGATGGACATTGCAATGCAAGACATCAACTGGGGCCGATCGTATCGCGTGCATGACGGCACGACGTTCTTTGTCCATCCCACAGACACCACCAAGGCCAGCACGGACAACTACGGCTTGGTACTGGATTGTGTGGCAACGCTGCGACTTCCTTCGGCCCTTCAACATGGGCACGTGGATTGCCAGGGAGGGGTGCAAGATTGGATGAATGCGTTGTCCAAACGACATGAAGATGTGGTGGTCGTGGTGCTGGGTCGCAATGTGTCGCCGTCTAAGATCATGCGCTGCCTCGATAGCATTGCACGCCAACACAAGTGTCCACAATGGACAGTGGGAGTCATTGTCGTGGACGACGCGAGTTCATCGCATACAACGGCGGCGTTTCTACGGTGGTATTGCCACCCTCAGAAAAACAATGCTAGGCCCCCCGTGACCCTGATCCAGCCGAGATTTGAACCCCGAAAAGTTGGCGCCAACACTGTCTTGGCGGTAGAGTATGTGTGTGCAAACCCCATGTCAGTGGTCGTGACGTTAGACATGGACGACTCGTTGCTTGGCATGGATGTATGGACTACGCTGTACCGATACTACATCCAAGAGTACGCGGACGCGACTGTCGGCGGAATGCTGCGAACCGACAAAATCCAGCCCCCCACGTCGTACCCTGGCATTTGCGTCAATGGGGCGCGACGGCTGCGCGGCGGGGGCAACGTGTGGATGCACTTGCGAAGTTTTCGAAAGTACTTGTTTGATCGTATCCTGGACCAGGACCTTCGCGAGCATGCTATACTGGACGCGACGACGTTGACTCGTGGTGACAATGGTGGCAACCCGTACTTGACGTTTGGCTTTGATTGGGCTATGATGTTGCCCCTCGTGGAAATGGCAACGAAACCGACAGTGGTCCACGAAGTGTTATACTTGTACGAACCGTTTGGCCCCCACAAAGCCGAGACGGATGCGGTGGCATTCCGTCTACTCGCTCGACCCGCTTACTCCAAACTCCGCCCCCTCATAGCGGTCGTGGGCGATGCCAATCTCAATGCCAGACACGCCGTGGTAGACTGTGCGTTCCCTGGTCCAAGAGCATCGAGTGAAGCAACAGGTGCTGCGGAGAAGGAAGCCGTCTTGATGGCATTGGGCCAAGCGTTGGTGGACGCGGGGTATACCGTTTTATGTGGGGGGCTTGGGGGCGCCATGTTGGCGGTGGCACGGGGTGCCCATGCTTCGACCGAGTGGCAGGAAGGGCGCGTGGTGGGGCTTGTGCCTGGCACCGATCGCCGCCAGGCCAACTCGTTTATCGACATGCCGATTGCGACGGGCTTGGGCATTGCTCGAAATTGCCTCGTCGCGCAAGCCGATGCGATGGTCTGTGTGGGCGGCGGCAGCGGCACCCTGTCGGAGATGGCGTTGGCGTGGTCTGCCGGTCGGCTCGTCATCGGAATGGAAAGTGCGTCGGGTGTTACCCCCCAGTTTGTGGGCAAGCCGCTGGACGGTCGACGGCGGTATCCGGCCGAGGTGGTGCCACATGACCAAGTGTATCGAGCGAAGGACGTGGACCAAGTGATCCAGCTGTTGCGTGCGTATTTGCCACTGTATGCCAAGAAGCGCCAACTGCCCATGTAAACTCGTTGGGAGAAGGGCTTTATGCATAGCCGCATGTCATGCAATAGGAAGTGGGCACTGATAAGTCATGGAGTTACAAGTTTTAAGAGAACACTTTCAACTATTACAACCTTTTTGGAATATCTCAGCCAAGTTATTTATTCCGATTTACTACGCAGTCTGTATATGAGAGTTTGTACGGCGTGGAGGTTATTCTTGGTGAAATAAACTCTCATAACTCATATTAATAGTTCATGGTCTTTCACAGAATAACTGCCGAGATACAAGTGAGAATGCGTGTCAATTTTCGCCCAGATTATATTTTTCAAGGCTTTGTTCCATACGAAAATGTGATTCACATGTCATATGTTTATCAAATGTAATAATTTCGTACTAGTATATACTAAGCTTAGTACTGTACTTAGTATAGTTTACGCTGCTAATCAAAGCCGCAGATGCATACTTTGTCATTTACATACAGTTAATAACTCTCCAAGTCAATACATATTTCGTTGGGTGTCGTCGACTGTAAGCAAGTTGCCAACGGTATGAAATACTTGCGGAGAACGGTCGCAGTATCTGTGCATTTGATTGGCTCAATCCCGATCTTGAACCGTCGCCCGATTGTAAGTGAAATAGATCGCCCATTGCCACTGGCAACATTCTCAACATGTCGTGTCCATTGGTTTCCCGTCGAGCACTGATTAGTCAACAATATCAAATTCCACAACATGTCACGCCATAACCAAGGTGTTGCTGATCGCAATCGATTACTATATCATATAGTTAACGTTAGTACTACTACGTAGTAGTTGTTGGCATTCTCATGGCTGTAGAATGTGGGCCGTCGTGTGTAAAGTACTAACAAGAACTGCCAAAACCCGCAGGTGTAAGTAACTTTCCTTGGTGTGACAACGTCGACAAGTGTCAAAACCCGCGACGAAGCCCAGTGCTTACTTCGAAGTCGAAAATGGAAAATGACAAATACCGCGTCTGCTTCTTTTGTCATATCGCCCATTCCAATCCTATTTAGGTCTAATTAGGCCTTTTCCTTCAACACTCGAGGTAATATTTGGACGACAGGGCAAGGCACTTTACTGTAACATCATGGCGACGCACGCGAGCTACGCCATGTCGGAAGAGTATGTGCCGCAGCACCAGGGCGGCAAGTACAGCGGTAAGACTAGATCATCAGTTGACGATCTTCTCATGGAGGAAGGAGACACGCATATCTCATGTGTGTGACGTAGCCACGAACGCGAAGAAGCGGCTGGTGCGCAAGATTCAACAGGACAGCTTGAAGCAGCTCTCGCTTGCGACGCAAGCAGTTCTCGTGCGATCGCCGACGGAACCGTACCACTCGTACCACATGACTATCACGTCCGAGTACTACAAGCAGAAGTGGATCGCGTGCCATCGGTATTCGGACTTTTACCGGTTGCGCAAGACGGTGCTGGAGGTGTTGTCGGTTCACGCGCGCATGGGGTGTCCAGTGTGCCAGACCGTGCACGCCCAAGTCAAAAAGTTCGACTTTCCTCCCCGTGACATCTTTCGACGGGGGGAACTTGACAAGCAAGTGGCGATGCGCCTTCCGATGCTTGAAGACTTCGTCGTCGCGTTGTGTCAGTACCTGTCCACGGAAGGGCTTCTCGTGCATTGCCGCAATATCTTGACCGTTCAAAACAAGGTGGTAGTTCATGGAATCCTCCGTTATCATCACCATTGCATCAATAACCTATATTTCTCCATATTCGATCCAGAATGCGCATGCATCATGCAATGTCTCATCGCATCTGACATCGTTTCGACTTGTGCAGATGAAAGATTTTATGCAGTTTCCACTCGCGCATGAAGAGCAGCATATCCGTGCGATCCGATCCCTCACGTACGTGCGTTGATCATGCATGCATGTGTGGTCTCCTCCATCGAGGCATTGCATGTTGCCAAGCAAAGTCAACGGGGATATTGTGATGATGGGAACATCCGTAGATATGTGGACCCGCGGGATGTGCATGTCGAGACCGAGTCGTGCCCGATCTGCTTGAACGACTGGGGCGAACTCGACGGCAACCAGCTCGTCTACGCGCAATGCGGCCACTTTTTCCATGAGCATTGCATCAACGAATGGTAATGCGAATGACGTGGCAGCGTCCCAGGACAGCACAGTTCTCACTGTTGATGATAGGTACACGACGCGGTTTGACTGCCCCATGTGTCGTCATATTGCTGGCGTGTAAGAAGCACCAACATGGCCCGTGGCAAGCCGTTTGTCCGTTTATTGATCCTCACATACAAATCGAAACGTCATAAAATTTTGATGCTCATCTTTTTTGCGTATCCTGATACAAACAGCGAGGTAATAAAATACTTGCGAGCCGTTTGGAGATATATCGATCCTTACATACAAATCGGAACCTAAACAATGTTCTGTGTTGTTGAGTATTCCAATACAAACAACTACATAATAAAAGGACTTCCGTTTGCGTACACACATTTGTACTTATCTCCATATTCATATACAAATCAGAAGTTATATAAATTTTGAATTCTGTTTTCTTTGTTTACCTACAAATAACAAGGTAATAAAATACCCTTGAGGACTTACGTTTGCGTAAACACATGTATACTTATCTCCATATTCATATACAAATCAGAAGTTATATAATTTTGAATTCTGTTTTCCGTACCTTGATACGAAGAGTAAGGTAATAAAATACTACGGAGTATAATGTTTGCGTAAACGCTTCCGTCAACAATGATCTATCTACATTTGGGATTTGTCAGCGACAATGCCATTCCAGAATTCGTGGGTTGGGGTACGATGTCACCAAAGGACACGTCCAGGAGAAGCGGGAGGTGGACTGCCTCCGCCACCGCTGCGATAGGCATCGTCGGTGCCGCCATCTATCTCGGTGTGGAGCCTGCTCCGTATGCTGCCACGACATCCGAGTACTTTCCCGCACATGCGCCCGCCACCGCTACGGCGCCAGCGGCCTTATGGAGCGGCGCCACATCCTCGTACACACTTGGGCGATGGACTGAACCCATTACCGACGTCCGCTTCCACTTCGAGCATCCACGTCCGTCCTCCACGTCGATTGCCGACGCGATCATCGTGTACGGCCGAGCGTTGCCGGCACGAATTCAAACGAAGAAGTGGCATTACACCAGCATCAACACCCGCGACCACTTCATTGCGATCGCCGTCGTGTCGTTGCAGTACCTGTCGCCCATGTTTGTGTACGTGGTGGACAAGGCCACGATGGAGAAGTGGGAATATGGCGCGATGCTTCCGGGGTCGTACGGAGTTGAATTTGCCGCGAGTTCCGTGGATCCAGCCACTTGCACGTCGGTCGCGTCTGTGAACCTCCGCATGTGTTTCCAGGACAATGCATGGCGCATGTCTGCGACGTCCATTCCATTGACTTCATCCGAGGATCGCTCGTCGGTCCGTCCTTTCTCGTTCGAGTTGACCATGCTGCCAGGAGAACCATTGATTCTGTCGTTTCCCCTCGCCAACGATATCATGCGACCTTCATACGTGCACAAAGGCGCGGGATATGCAGTGCATGGAACGTACTCGTTCGGGTCCGTGGACACCACCATCGCGACGGCAGTTCCCGCGCTGGGGACGATCGACTGGACCAAGAGCCTTGCGCTCCATCGCACTGAATGGAACTGGGTGTCGTCGACGTTTGTCGCGGACGACGGGACGGCCGTGGGCATCAACTTGAGTCGCCGCGTGTACGACGTGGACGGCGCATCCCAAGAGAATGCGATTTGGCTCGACGGGATCGTGTGTGTCCTAGGCGCAGTCACGTTCGACGTGCCAGAGGATGGAATGACCCAAGCATGGAGGATTCGGTCCGTCGACGGAGTCGGTGCGGTGAACCTCACGTTCGTGCCAGGCGGCGCCAGGCAGGAACGCCTGAATGTGCTGAACGTCCTTCGCAGCGACTTCGTCCAGCCGTACGGACGTTTCACAGGCAAGATCTCATGCACCGGATCCGATCGCATCTCGCGAACCGTCGACATGCACGATGCATTTGGGGTCGTGGAAGATCATTTCGCGCTCTGGTGAGACATCATACAACTCCGGAGTAGCCCAGTGCAATGCAGGATTATTAACCCTCTGGGCAATACTATTAATATAATAGTACTATTATTAATAATACTACGTAGTACTATGAGTAAGCTTAGTGAGTTAGTTGCCTTGCGCTCAAAGTAATTTTAGAACCATGAATAAAAAACTGGTAATGTATACATATAATATTATACGACTTCGAAGTATTATACTATTAATAGTAAGTATTACTACGTTGTACCGTATAGTGTATATGTATTGCGACAGGTGATATTTCACAACCCGCCGACACTCGTTCTCAAAATTTTGTTAATCCATTGCATCGTACAAATTTGAAGTATATTAAACATGTTCACAAGTAAATATCAGTTATTACAAGAAAATTATCAGTTATTACAGGAGTCGCAATAGATTAATCCGTCGCAATACATATACACTAGTATTTATGACAGAGGAAGAGCCAATCAAATCTCAGCAAAGTGAGCTGTGAGTGGTGGAACCTCCAATACTGAAGTATGATTGGTTAAAATCAAGTAGTTCATTTAATCTATGTTGAGAGATCCCATTGACCATTCGCCAGGAGACAAGTGATTTTATGACTTGGACCAATATTAAAACCAATTTCTGATTCAAGACACCCTGGATTTGAGGAAGTTTTGTTTTACGATCGTAGACCTGTACTTGTACAGTACTGTAATAGATGGGTTGTACTCAATGTTCCGGTCGTAAGTACATACTGTACGGATATACAACAGATATTGATATTGACTATATTTTGGATACAAGCCATATTATAGACAAGTTTATCATTCTAAACTCTCTAGGTCAATCAATCACAATATACTGTGTGCTTCCCAATAGTGTTTTTTACCTGTGACATAAAACTCGTCCCCTTGACATGTCACGACCAAGGCACCGAGCACCTTCTGGCGAGCGTTTCGATATTCCGGTTGCATCCGGATAGCTTCGGTAGTCTAAGCCAAACCACCAAAGATTCAGTCCGACGTGTCTGTCGCACTGTCAAATGGAAACTTGAAACGCATGAACGAACGGTGGACTTGCAATTTGTATGATGGCCTGCCACAAACTAGACTACGTACACCATGATAACACCATCCGCGGAGCCACCGTTTTGACGGCAGCCTCATTCATTTTCCATTTGCCATGACAACCAACACCACCGCGCAGGCTTCGACAACGTCGTCGACGTCCTCGCACAACGACAGGCACTCCGACAGCTACCACACGCTCGTGGACGACCAACACCACAGCAGCTTCTCGTACAGTCATCAGTTCCCGTCAAATGCAGCCAAGCCGTTTGTCCGCGGGTCCAACCACACTCCCAACCCCTTCATCCGAGGATCTATCATCGATCGCGAAATCCCCGCCATGCCCGAGGAGTGTATGGCTACCGGGCCTCCCAAGCGCGCCTACAACGGAAAGATCAAGGTACATACACCATATTTGCCAGCTACATACAGAAGTTACCCACAACTACAGTGCTGCAATCCTCGGAAGGTCTTACGTATATTTGGCTATTGTAGAGATGGCCAGGGGTGGTCCTGCTCGTGATGATCGTAGGTGGCGCCCTCGTTGCGATCGTCGTGTACTCGCTGCAAACCCACGATGCCTCCATCAAGCGCCGTCGAGATGTCCAGCGCGCGATCGCAGACCGCGTGCGTATTGCCGACGGGCTGGACATACCCACAGGAATTGAGCGGCCCAACGATGACGAGAGCGACGATGGCGTGATCAACAACCCCAAAGTGTACAAATCCATGGAATGCGAACTGCCGAATTACGTGAGCAAGAAGGGCAAGATCTGGGCCGTGTCCAAGAATGGAACTGAAGTGCCCGTGGGCATCAAGGGCGTCAACTGGTTTGGCATGGAAACCGGCATGCAAGCGCCGTTTGGGCTGTGGGACAACGAACACAACGGCACCACCGTGGTAAGCAAGCCCGATGGAGTTGCATGTTCATTTTTTTCAATGATTTTAGTGTGCTCGTTTTCAGGACCTTTGGATTGGGAAATATAGATTTCATAGAGAGGGGTTTCGCAACAACTCATCTCTTATATTATACATTCAATCAACTCGGTACAGTACCGAGTTGTTCACACGTTTATTGTTCTTCCAAGCCATGTCGATTTCGGAACGTAATCGCCATATATTGTGAATTCGCTATAACCTTTCAAAATTCGCGTGGTTTGTCGAATCACTATTGAATCATGCCGGAGTTCTGATTGGTTGAATATATATTTTTTCCTTTCTGCAAGAGCCAATCAAATCCACTTAAAATTCGATTCGCCAATAACGTCGATGATATTGGATGATATTCATTTCGGCGGCGAGATACATTCGATTCACGCTGAACATTCGTATCGAATATACCACAATACTAAGTCGTATTTTTTTTTTTTTGTGATCGTCTTACTGTATGCGTTACATATTTGGTTGTGTTTGGCTCATAATACTAGCTAGTTCTTACGTTGCCACGTACATTCTATATGTACTAGTATGCGATTGCCGACTTTCTCGCTGCCAACAACTTTAACAGCGTGCGGTTGCCATTGTGTGTGCAAAATATCCTCGACAACAAGCCATTGCAAGCGGCGATCGTAAACAAGCAGACCAACCGCGCGCTCGACTTGAGTTCATATGTGAGCTTGATTCAGTCGATTGTCAAGGGCTTGGGGTTCCGCCACGTGTCGGTGATGCTATCCATGCACACATTGGACTTGATGAACACGGCGGGGTCGCTGTGGTACGGCGTCGGGATCACAGAGGAGCAATTTCTCACGTCTATCGACGTCTTGACGACTGCGTTGTGCACCAACGAGTACTGGAACGTACTTGGCATCGACCTAAAGAACGAGCCGTGGCAGGGGACGTGGGGCACGGGCCTGGCCAATGATTTCCGCGTCGGCGCCGAAACGATCGCCGCGCGGATGCTCGAGAAGTGTCCGAAATGGCTCGCGTTTGTGGAAGGAGTGAACGACCAGCATGACATTGTCCTAGACGGGCAAGAGTATGGGTACTACGACTGGTTTGGCGGCGGGTTGCATAAAGCCAAGCTGTATCCGCCGCGGTTTCCAGTACCCGATAAGCTCGTGTACGCGCCGCACTATTACACGCCAGCTGTGTTTCCGCAAATGTATCTGTTTGGAGGGGGTGTCGTGGGCAAAGGCAACGTAATTGTCGACTACGTTGAGCTCGCCAATGCCAAGCTATACAACCGCGTGAAAGCCACCATGTACGATATGTTTGGGTACCTAAATGAAGACAAGGGACCGGCGGTCGTGCTCGGCGAGTTTGCCGGGTTGTACACGAAGGATGCACACCCGATGAAAACTACCCAGAGGTGCACAGACTTGACGATTCAAATCATGGTTGAAGAAGGGTATGCTGGCGGGTACATGTGGAGCTTAAACCCTGAAAGCGCGTACCAGTACAACCCTGCCGACAAGGCAGGACACTTTGTCGAAGGGCTGATGCAAGACGACTGGCGAAAGGCCAACCTTCCGTTCTTGAAGGCGATGAAGGGATTGGACGCGCTGCCCGATTTGAAACCCATGCCGTGCTTTCCCATAGTCAAGGCAAACGAGTAAGGTAGAAGAAGTATTTATATATGTAGAACGAGGGGGCGTATGCTAATAATGTGATCATCCCAAAAGACGCGTATATCGTATATATATATATATATTTATATATATATATATATAGTCAAGGCAACCGCGGGGGGCGAGTAAAAAGTATGTATATATATGTAGGACGAGGACGAGGGGGTTTGGGGGGCGTATATATATATATATATATAGTCAAGGCAACCGCGGGGGGCGAGTAAAAAGTATGTATATATATGTAGGACGAGGACGAGGGGGTTTGGGGGGCGTATGGTAATAATATGATTCTGTATATATATATACTATCCACACGCGCGATGAAAGGCTATGTTACGTTTGTGGGTGCCCCGCCGGCTGCGCTAGAATAATAATAATATATTATTAATACTGTGGACATCACTTCGTTAGAAGTTGTCCACTGCGCACGAGAACCGACTTTTACGCAGAAATAATATCAATAACGTTAGTCAACAACCCCACGTCTTGAAAAAATATTAGTATCGCTGTTCCCCGTACCACTGTACCTATTTTCCTTGCACCATGTATGTAATGATATATTTAAATGTTAACTATACGATATTTGATTGAAGCTTCTATTGCCTGTGAATTTTTCTAGGAATTTGGGCACAAAGACTCGTGCATAAAGACTCGTGACCACGACATTCCTTCCATATTGAAGTCGTCAGTCACTTTGGAGCTTGTGATTGGCTGAATGGTCTTGGCCATTCTGTACGAGCCAATCCGATTGATTCAAAAATACTTGGACACTCGTGCTGCTTTGGCGATACGACGGGGTATGGAATAGTATATATATACAGTATTATAGCAATATTACACCGAATCCACCAGACGTCTTCACTGTATTAAACTGTTTTGCACGTTATATTTGACCCTATCGTCGGCACGTCCGCTTCAGTTCGTTGGCCACGAGCGGTACCAAGCACACACACGACAATATCCCGCTCACTTGGAGCAGCACAAACACAGGGCCCCACGTGCACACCATCGTCCCCCCTTCGCCCACGGGGTGGCAGCCGGCGAGGTACCCCACCAGAAACTGCACAATCGCCGCGCCGACGCTACCGGTGCCGTCGATGATGCCCGTGACGGTAGCGAGAGCCGCTGTGTCCTCCCGGAGGCTGTCGTGGGACCCCAAGTCGGCCGAGATGGCCGTACTGATCAAGTTGGCGGGTCCGCCGAGCAGAAATCCGGTGGCCAAGAGCAGCGCGGTGGTTTGAGCGTGGGATGCCCCGTCAAACAAGTGCAGCAAGCTCCTAATATGTAATATATCAAAAACGACGAGTTCTTTGTACATCCAACACTAGGGTGTATATATATATAATATATATCCATGAAATCGAGGAATAATATATATATATATATATATGTGAAAATATAAACAACACTAAACAATAGATGTCACGCACGCACATCAACGGCTCAAGAATGGCTGGATAAGAGATATCGATACAGAACAAAGACGAATTAGACGAATAGATGCCGTAGAGGTTCGAGTTAGATACACAGCAGCACAGAATAGAACGAATGGATACCGTTCAGACCGTAAGAGTATCAACACAGCGTACTACAATGTACTGTACATTAAAGTTATCGTTTTGGACCCAAGAAGACACAGACGAAAATAGTCGTGTAGATACAGATATAAGAAGAATCAATCGATGGGTTTAGCGTTAGTTACAGGAAACATACGAATATAGAGTATACGTACGTGGCCGCGCCAATCATGGCAAACACAATCGGCGACCGAATCCCGGCTTTGTCGGTGACGTATCCGCCAAGAAACCCGCCAGCGATCTGGCCAGCGTCGTACAACATCTACGAAACAACGGGGCATCAAGTGTGAGGCACGACACGTGCGTTAAGGTCATTTTTGTTTTGGTGGATGTGGTATGTCCAAGTGGCATACTCGATCGTAGCGTGGAGATCATAACGGACATAAGACGATTGATTTTTTTACTTTTTTCAGGTTGCTTAAATAGACGTACCGAATACATGTCGGCCTTGGCATCGTCCATCCCGAGGCTGATAGTCAAGTAGAATGGGAGCCAAAAGAAGAGAGCGTAATTCAACGACTTTAAACACGCATACGCCAATGCATACGGGAGGACCTACGATTTATATAAATACATAAATATATATATATATATATATATATCGTGTGTTAGTCTTGGGCTTTTCGCCAATATGGTTGCTAACAAATCAAGCAAAGCAGTATGATTGGCTAAAAAGAATAAAAGTTGCATCGTGATGGGCGAAATGAATGAATGTTTTGTAATAACGCAGTCAAAAAAATACCCTTTGAACTTGGTTTGATATAACATTTTGCAGGTCCAGCGAGTTTTGGCCGTGTTCATTCAACTACTATATTTTTATAAACATAAAATATAAAAATAAATAAATATTGAGTACAACAACAAACAATCCACGTCCTGTCGGAATACGAATATATTTTATTATTTCGCCCATACTGTGAATTCGCTATAAACTTTCAAAAATCGACTGGTTTGTTTAATCAATATTGAATCACGCCAGAGTTGTGATTGGTTGAATATACTTATCTTTTCTGTCAGAGCCAATCAAATCCACTCAAAAATAGATTAGCCAATAGTTCGCGTCGATTCGTGATTCGATTCGGCGGAGAGATACATTCGATTCGACGGGGTCTTTGTATCGAATATACCACCATATATTTGTTTTCAAATGGTTGAGATGATTACCCCTGGAATTTGCCACGCCCGCCAAAATGAAATGCCTTGCTTTCCACGATGAGGAGGGTTCGCTGATGACGCCGGCGACGTCATCACATGACTGTCGTCTGTACGAGCCGACCCAAGCAGCGCTTCTTCTGCGTCGTGATTGGCCGATTTCGGCGCTGGCTTTAAAAAGGCATAGACGAGCCACCCTTGTACGGCGACGAGCCCGCCCGCGACCAGCACCGCCGACTTCCACGCAATGACCTTTGAAGGCACAGCAATGTACAGCAGAGCGACCACGGCAGTGCCCACAATATTGCCAAATGAAGCGTTGGCACTCCATAAACCCATGATAGCTAAGCAGTCGAGTCAATATATATATATATATATATATATAAGTATATAAAGTGCACGTATTGTAATAGTATCCATATCTTGGAGTTTTACAAAATTCCGAAAAAAAGTCGATTGATAATATATATATATATACGTCAGTATATTTGTGAAAAACAGCGCACACGACGAATTTGGACGGAAGATAGAATTGTTGGGGTATTAAGGTACTACCAGCTAGTACTACTTACTACTATCACCCCAATTAAACATCATGAAGTAGTGAAGAATATATAGAGATGGAATGAACAACGACTCGTCGAGTTGGTGTTTCAAGATAATTGTAGTTCGTTGTAATACAATTATATATATATATATGTGAAAACAACAGAAGGATGAATATATATATGAAAAAACCACAAGGATGCAGAATATGCAATGATGAGCTGCTAACTACTACTATGTCATGTCGTGGGGTTGAGCATCAGTAGTACTTTTGCTTACCGCCACGCTCTTGCTTATCAAACCAATTGCCCCTACATGAAACAAATGAGATGGAAATGTGTGTGCAACTTGCACACGCGTCGTAGCAACAACTGCACGTACATGACAGCAACGTTCACGGGCCACCCAATGGACTGGACGAGGCCGTTCAACGCCCATAGAAACGCGTACAGCCCCAGCGACCGAATGTCGAGGAATGCAGACACGCCAAACACACACATGATCGCGGCCGTGATGAACATACCGCCCGAGAGGAGCTTCCGCAGGTCGAAGCGGTCGCCAATGATGCCGCTACACGAGGATATCGCAGGACGAGGTAGGAGGTGGAAGTGTGTGGGTGTTTCTGTGGATGTACCTGACGTAAAGCCCACACGCATAGAACGCCATGAAGAGCGTGTCCATGAGGCCATACATCTTGCCTTGCTCTGTGGATGGAATGAGCGCGGATTCCATAAACAGCTCCTTGCTCATCTCGCCCTTGATGGCCGAGAACGACTTGCGCGATACATGCAGCATCACGTAGCTGAAGAAGGTCAAGAGGAACACCTTGACCTTCTCCCGTCCATTGTGTTCATGCCGAGGTGCCCCCATGTGTATGCTGTCGGCAGCTCCCTCGAGATGGATTCGCGTCGTTTGATTGACCGTCCAGAAATCTTCATCACTCACTATCACTCTTTTAGTTCTACTAGTAGTACATACTACTAACGTTTGTGTGTTAATAGTAGACTCACGTATTAATAGTACTGTATTACTCCAGAGTACTAGTATGTACTACTTCGAGGTACTACGAAGTAGGTAATAAATACACTACTAATACAGTCTGCACAATAATACTAACGTAAAAAACCAATTTAAGAGTCAAAACCTCTATCATATAATGCTGGCCATTTCGTCACGTGAATGAAATGCAAAAATGGCGTAGAAGCCATTGGTAATAGTCATTCAAGATTGGGTTTGAAGTTCCCTAGTCGGCACGGGCCACATTGGGTTGGATCTGAGGTTTTGTCGAGTGTTAAACTCGGTGGACATCCATCCACAACAGAAATTTTAACTCTATAAAACAGTACCCTTGTATAAATTATATGCAACCTGTTGTAACCGCTTACCCTAAACACATAATTTCAATGCTCTAACACATACTTTAAGATGAAGAAAAGTTATCCTAAATTGGTTATCAAAATGTGAGTACAAATGCTTAGAAAGTAACAAATTTACCTGTGAAGTTCATCGCCTAAACTGATGATTCGAATATGAAGTCAAAGAGGCGCGTCTTGTCTATTGGAATCACTATTCAAAACTCAAATATCGTAACAGACTCAAAAGTTATGTCCATTCTACTCCGACGCCTCCAAAAAAGTTATCTTAAATTGGTTTTTTACGTTACGTAGTACTTGTATTATACAGTACTACCGGGTACCATTAGTATTAATTGTGCTTTGCACTATTTGAAGTATTATACTATTTTAATAGTGTAATAGTAGTACTATTAAAATAGTACTACGTAGTACTCGTAACGTACTCGGAATGGTTTAACAGTTATTGTACAGCTGATGAAACGAACACTAGTAGTACTATTACTATGCACAATACGTGGTAGGATTACTATTAGTAGCTTGTCAACTACCGCTCCAACATGCTCTGTGATACAGTACATTACACTGCCTTGTTTGCTGGCAATTACGAAGCAAGCACCAAGGATCTTTCATGTGACATTGTCGCATGGTACGTACATAAGCTTAACGTTAGACTGTGGAAGGTGTGAATCTGTTCTATTCTCGAAGCACATACTGCAGGCCCAGGTCTGGCATGTCCATTTGCACGAGGTCCATTGCAGCTTTGATCCGATCGCCGTCGGGCTGCAAGACGAGCACCACGGGGATGTGCATGTCCCTCCACTTAACCCACTCGTCTTGCTCTAGGAAGCCATTCTGTCGCGGAGATCCCAGCACCCCACAGGCAAACGCTGCGCCGCACTCGCCCGAGTCCACGACTACCATGCCCGTGCCACCTGCCTACCACCAAGACCATACATGTTAGTACTACTAGTACTAGTACTACTCGTCTGAATCACCGTGTACTAGTAGAGATCGTGGCATTTGCTGTGAATGAAATCATGATTACCTCTTGCACGCGCCTTGCCTTGTCGGCGATGGGAACATCTCCTCGATCAACTAGTACGAGCCGGCCGTCTACTTGATGGCCGTTGTACAGGTCGTCCAAGGCAGTGTTGGGCACTGCGTACACGATGTCTACACATGAGCCAAGATGTGACGATGATCGTGAATGAACGATAGACGAACCTCCATATACGCGAAACACATCTGGGTTGTGATACGACTCCCACGCTGGCACTAGTATGCCCATGTATGTGAGTGCATTTAACGAGCTCAATATCAGCACATGGGCAATGACATTCGTACCCACGGAGCCTTCGCGGAGAACATCCACACATTGTGTGCAAAACGTCAACCCGTTCCCTGAGACGAGGGCACCCTTCACGCCCGTGAGTGAATAATGCTGCTGCTGCAGCCCATCGTCGTCTCCTGTGGAAGAGCATGTATTCGATGATGCAGACACTAGCGCCATCAACACGGCCACGATACTGCTTCTGATGCCATGACGTCCAGGAAGCTGTCGCCGCCGCTGCAATGTTCCCGGCATGACAATTCGATTTTTAGTTCGAATTTTTCGTCGCGTCGTTTCAGGATACAACAGCGTACCATCCACTTGAAACTCGGATTTTCGATAAAAGCCAGTCATAATTCGGACGAATAAATCCGAAATAAGTGGCTAAAACCAGGATATATATCCTTGTTTGGACTAGGTTAAGGATCAGGATCAGTATTCCATGATGGGTTTTGCCCATTGCTCAATTGTTGCCCCGACACCATCAGCGCCGTCAACTTCCGCAATGGGTCCTCGCTCCAACATGAAGAAGTCTGGATACGAAGACATTGAGGCTGGCAAGGACAAGACCGTGCCGCTGCGCTCCCTCGCGGTGCTGCTCATCCCATGTACGCCAGTCTCCCTGCATGCTCCAACGTTGTTCTGTCGTCATCTCATCTGTTCATTAGACTTTTGGCCCCAAGGATTCTTTCTGGTATAAACCTACCATCTACTTCATTCGAGTGTACATTACATGCTACATGTTCTTACCCTGCCCGTGAATACATGCAGAAACTTCGAGTGGCTGTGTCGCTGTCCCTCGTCGCTGCGTCGCGCAGCTTCCGCGTCCTGTCGCCGTTGTTTTTGAAGGATGCCACGAATGAACTGGCGTCCACTGGGACACTACCCCTCCGCTCGTTGGCGCTCTATTGCGGTGCGACTACCGCCACGCTTGACCCCCCATAGCCCCCACCTTCATTGTGCTTATATCTTGCCCCATCTAGCGGCGCTGTTCTTGTCGTCCACGGCCAAGCAAGTACAAACATACTCGTATCTTCGCGTCAAGCAGCATGCGTACACGAATGTGTCGTCCACGGTATTTGCCCACTTGCATCAAATGTACGGAATCAAGGACGATGTGTACAAGTGTCCACTATGATTGTTACGTGTTTAATATGTAGCTGTCAAGTTTTATTTTCATCTACGAAATGTATTTTTGATGTGTATATATATATAGCATATTTCAATACTATATGTATATATAATATTTCAATACTGTATAATACATACTGCTAGTATATTTAGAATATTGGTAGATGTATATAAAATACAGTAGTGATATATATATGTATTCGACCTGAATCTCCGTACATATACAGCAAAGGAGCTACCGATTAGATCGAATTGGATTGTACATATAAATATATATTTAGATCGAATGTCGTCTGTAGATTGTACATATACAGTATATATATATACTAACCCGTCGCATCATATTTTCTGTTATCGTTTGTCCATGAATATTTCTGTTGCGATATCCGTTTTTGAGCAAACGTCGTGATATCCACTTGGCTCACATCGAATCTACTACCCCTATTATATATATATATATATGTTATCATGTACTTTTTCTACATATCCAACACGTCGACTTGAAAGCATGATCGTTGTCTTCGTATGACTATGACCCTCGAATTCGATATCTATCAATATATATATATATATATGTATATCTACCAATAAATGTATCTAGGTCGATGCATTTTCACTTGACGAAGAAGACGGGAAAGATCATGCGGGTACTCGATCGGGGGTTAGACAGCACCGATAGCATTGTAAACGTGCTATTTTTTCGTTTTGTGCCGACGTTGTGCGAGGTGGCAGCCGTGTCGCTTGTGTTTGCATTTGCATTTAACGACCACTGGCTCTCCGTGGTGACCGTCTCCAGCGTCAGCTTATATACAGTCGTTACGTTTATCGGGACTAGCGTGCGGTTGCGCTTCAAGACCCAGAGCAACCTCCATGATAACGACGCAAATGAAAAGGCTGTGGACAGCCTGACCAATTTTGAAACGGTCAAGTACTTCAACGCGGAAAAGTATGAAACCGAGCGGTATATGGCGTCCATCGACCGATATCAGCAGTCGACGTACCTCACGAGAGGGTATTTGAATGCGCTTAATGTGGCGCAGCAGTTGATTCAGTCGACGTGTTTGTTTGTGTGTATGGCCATCACTGGCATCAAAGTGTCCCAAGGTATATATATATATATATATGGTAAATTTTAAAAATATTTTTTCTATATATATATATATATATGTATATGTACAAGATGTATATCGTGCGTGTCCATTCCATAGTTGAGTAATAGTATATATATATGCACGATTGGTGGGTCTTTCTCTGCTCATTTGACCGACAATACTGCCAGCCAACCATCATATATCCATCGTTGATTGATCTGTTAATTGTTGGACCTACTGTATCCTTTTGAACAAGGGAAATATATATATGTGCTGATAATTTTTCCGTCTATTGCCCCAGCTGAGAGACTATATTTTTCCACAGCAACATCCATGTAATTTGAATAAAAACGTGATGATCACATACGATTCAAACTATGACAAACGACTGGTGAGCCTAATTACCTTTGGTCACCACAATATCTTTTATTATGGTTGTAATCAACCGAGAGAGGAGTCGATGCCACGTACTGCGACAGAGTGTGTACATAATTTTGAGTGTGTGTGTCCATATCTTTTTATAAAATATGTTTCGACGTGGCCAGTTCGTAGTTTGATATTTGCAAATACCGTTCCGATATGAATGTCACTATCAATGGAACAATACGACGATAATAAAGACGAAACAACTTGTTTTTTGATTTGTATATTTGGTTCAAATAAAAAAACAAAAATATTTTTGGACTGACGAGTTGATAGTTTGATGTACAAAATGCCGATTTCCCATATGAAAATTTCACTATCGATGCAAAACGACGACGAGTGTAAACAAGAAACAACAACTTGGAAAAACGAATTGAATGATATTTCGTTTTATTTAGCAACTACTTAATGATATGTCGTAGGACACTTGACCGTGGGCGATTTCGTCGCGGTGGGGTCGTACATATTGAATATTTTCAAACCGTTGGATTCCCTCGGTGCGATTTACAACACAATTGTCCAATCTATCGTGGACATGTCCAATCTGGTCGAGTTGCTGCACCAAACCCCCGACGTACTTGATAAGGACGACGCCAAGGTATGTCGTTCGACAGCAACTTTCTCGCCTACAAACCGTTAAATAAACTGGATAAAAATTATACTCGAAACAGCCGTCAAGTGCATGTTTTCAAACGTGTCTCGACCACATTTTTGTCTTTGTTTTGATATATATGTATATATTCTACTCCAAATGTCCTCTGGTGGTGAAATGTATGAACTGCTATCGCTGGCCGTTGGAAATTTGATAGATAACGAAGTGTTTTAAGCGGTACCGTGGTGACGACGACTACATGTCACGCCGATATGCATTCTTTTTAGCCAATCATAATGCAACAACCTGCATTGTTTTTATCCAATCAAACTGCTTTCTTGATTTCTTGGTGGATTCTTCAACCGTTCCTCAAACTCGCCCAAGTTGGGGCGGAAACACACGATATCTTGGAAATTAAAAGAATACACTGAATATAGTGTGCGTCTGGTAACACTATTTCAAATTACCATTTCCTAAATTTGGAGAAATACTACACTGGTCCATTAGTTTGTACTATGGCCGAGTGTGTTGGATCGACGACTGTTTGAGTAATAAATAAATCCCACAAAAGGATGTTGGATATATATATATACAGTATTTGGATTCAAACGACAATCTTTTAACTAAAAGACATTTGTTTTAATTCGTTACAAATATTTTTTAAGGTCGGGTCTGAATGCCACAAAATATGGCATAAAATGGCCGATTTCCCAAGAAAAAGTTGGCAAAAAAAAAAAACGAAAAAATATCCGATTTTTCGAGATTTTGTGCGTCTGGATGCCACCAAAGTTCAAAACTTTATGCCACCATTTTTTCTTGCGAGTCGGGTGTTTTACGGCATAAATATAATGGACCGATTTGGTCCAACTTTATTATGGAGGTTCGTTTGTGTTCACGTTGAAATCTTGTGCTTCAATCGAAAGTCGAATATAATTTTTCCAAAATTCAACTGACATCCAGACAACTCCCCTAACTCCTTGTTTTTATGGGATATGAGACTTGGGAAATTTTTGCAGACTTGCCAAAACGGTTTACTGTGCTCTCGAGTGAAATTTCATTGTGTTGTGGTTTCTCGTTGGATTTTACATCGATTTGATTGGCTACTTCAGATGAGCTCAAAATTATTAGCCAATCAAAACCCATTTCTCAATGAAATTCAACCAATCAGATCAATTGTGGATCGGTTTGGTCGGCGCGATTCGATTGCACCCCCTCCCCTCCCCAAATTTGTGTATCAAATCGACAATACTGTTATTTTTAAAATATTGCCATAGTACAATACTGTATGTGGTTGGTTACCAGACACGTAATCAACCAAACTCAAACGTCTACACGTACAACCCTAGTCGCTGGTCGTGTCGGCAACTCCGACGTCGTCGCCGTCTTCTTCCAGAGGTTTTACCAGCTCCCAACGGCGCTATCAACCGACAGTGCAATTTGATCACGTTTCGTTCACATATCCCGGGCAGCCGTCAGCCAACGGATTAAAGAATATCAGCTTTACCATCGGTCCAGGCCAAACTTTGGCGGTGGTGGGGACGACCGGGGCAGGGAAAAGTACCCTGAGTCGGCTGCTATTTCGGTTCTACGATGTGACCGCCGGTCGAATTTTGATTGACGGGCAGGACATTTCAAATGTGGACCAAAAGTCGCTGCGCCAAGTGCTCGGGATTGTACCCCAAGATGCAGTCATGTTTAACGATTCGATCTACTACAATGTACGACCCCGACTTACTGTACATCGTACAACTAGCCATATTTGTCGTACATTTTTCATTGCCATTCCATTGGAAACATTTCATGTCGAACTGTGTTATAGAGTTGAGATATTTTTTGGATTTTATATTTTTAAAAATATATTCGCTATATTTTATGGCACACGTCAACGACAAATACGGTAAAATATATTCTTGGCCGTTTACCCCACATTTAGAAGCATTTGGGCGGATGATTTGACAAATTGATTGATCGAATCGTTGGACTGAAACATATTGTAGAACGGAAAGAATAGTCTTTTGTGGTGATGCCAATTACACTAATTCAAGACATATACTAATTGGTGTGGATCCTGATTTCCTACAATCGGATTGGCTCAATTCGATTTACTGCCGATTGACATGTTTCATTCGCCATGTCGCTCCAGTTTAGAATAAACAGTACAATATTATGTGAGTGTGTGATATTTGACAAGACTGCCCCGTGTCCTAGTGGGTATGTTTGGGTGATACTGATTATGGATATATATATATATATATATGTATTGTCAAGTCGATTCCAAGCTGGAATGGGGTGGTCGTACTCAATCGAATTAGCAGAACCAAATCCGCAGACAATCGACCGAGCCAGAACACTTTCAAGTGACCAATCAACCATCGATTCAGTGTGTGACTTCAAATAGAGTACAAGGTTTCACAAAGTTATTCTATCAGTGGATTTGGTGAAGCAGCACAAATATACACTTTTTGGCTGAAAGCACGATATATATATATATATATATTTGCCATCCTAGGAATTTAAGCACGGTGTTTTTTTATACATGTATGTCTTCCAAATGTTCGTTTCTCCTCGGATTAAAAGCATCTGGTTGATCCGTTGAAAGTCCTTTTGGAGACTTCTAATATATATGTTACGTTATATAAATATTAATAAGATTGTCGCGATATATATATATTTATATATTTGTAAAACCACTTGTATATATATATATGCTAGTGACAGCAGTCGATCGAATGGGATATATGGGGTATTTTGTAGATACATTACGGTCGGCTCTCTGCATCAAAGGCCGAAGTTGAAGCTGCGGCCAAGGCGGCCAATTTGGACTCGTTTCTTGCGTCGTTGCCAGATGGTCTCGACACCAAGGTACTCACATAACACTCCTGAAATGATCATGTATATAAATATATATTATATATATATTATAAATATATATGCATACATTATACACGAAATGACCATATATATATATATGTATGTATGTATTATAAATATATATGCATACATTATACATGATATCCAATGGCTATGTTCTTCCTCGTTTTGTTCTTTTCTACCTTAGAGTATGGATACTATATATGCCAAGGCAGACTATACAGGGTAGTATCTATCTTCCTCGTGATATATATATATGATATATATATAGCCAAGACAGACTATAAAGGGTACCTATATAGTAGTATCTACCTTCCTTGTGATATATATATCTCACATATATACTACATATCATATATCTATATATATCGGTAAGGTACTACCCTGCATAGTCAGTCTTGTCATATATAGTATCACACGCAGGACATAAGAATATATATATATATTCGTACATCCTGCGTGTGATATCGCAGGAGTAGAGAATTTTATCCATGCACGTGATGTAAAACGACCAATACGGAATCGTTATGATCTTACAATAGATATATGAAATCGTACTGATTGTACAATATGGAATGGTTGTGATCGTAGTACTCTGTCGCAGTGTTGCTATGAAAGGTGTAACTAGTATTTTTGCTTGTACTCTGTCGCAGAGTAGTTTTACGCCTAAGTGAATTGTTAATATAATTTTGACTCTAAGGTGGGCGAACGTGGGCTCAAATTGTCTGGCGGGGAAAAGCAGCGGGTGGCCATCGCGCGGGCGATTCTCAAGAACCCCAAGGTCATGGTGCTGGACGAAGCCACGTCGGCGCTGGACACGAGCACGGAGCGCAGCATTTACGAAGAACTGCAGCGGATTTGTGCTCATCGCACCACGGTATTTTGTTTGGAATATATATATATATATATATCCTCGTGATATATATATGATATATATATATAGCCAAGACAGACTATAAAGGGTACCTATATAGTAGTATCTACCTTCCTTGTGATATATATATCATATATATATATATATCTCACAAGGAAGGTAGGTACTACCCTGCATAGTCAGTCTTGGCATATATAGTATCACACGCAGGACATAAGAATATATATATATATTCGTACATCCTGCGTGTGATATCGCAGGAGTAGAGAATTTTATCCATGCACCTGATATAACGACCAATACGGAATCGTTATGATCTTACAATAGATATATGAAATCGTACTGATTGTACAATATGGAATGGTTGTGATCGTAGTACTCTGTCGCAGTGTTGCTATGAAAGGTGTAACTAGTATTTTTGCTTGTACTCTGTCGCAGAGTAGTTTTACGCCTAAGTGAATTGTTAATATAATTTTGACTCTAAGGTGGGCGAACGTGGGCTCAAATTGTCTGGCGGGGAAAAGCAGCGGGTGGCCATCGCGCGGGCGATTCTCAAGAACCCCAAGGTCATGGTGCTGGACGAAGCCACGTCGGCGCTGGACACGAGCACGGAGCGCAGCATTTACGAAGAACTGCAGCGGATTTGTGCTCATCGCACCACGGTATTTTGTTTGGAATATATATATATATATATATTTGTGAGGAGGGTTTGTTGAAATAATGTTATATATGATTGGTATATATATATTAGCTGGTGATTGCCCATCGATTGTCGACGATCCGAGAAGCACACGAGATTCTGGTCTTGGACCATGGACAAATGCTCGAACGCGGGTCACATGACCACCTCATTGCGCAAAACGGAGGTATAAAACTATACTAGTATATATATATATATATTTATATATATATATATATACGTATAAGACTACACCTATCTATATAGTCCCACGTTTATATACCGGTAACAGTACTATATCGAAAGCTTATTCGACACTTGGAAGAGTTTGGTACAGTGTCGTGTTGTGTATTATTAGTATTACTAGTATTTCAGTGTCGCATGTAGTAGTGTACTATTAATAGTACATTGTAGTAGTACTATATGATTTGATAAATGTGCCATGTGTTTTGTAGTGTACGCGTCGATGTGGTGTGCCCAGCAAACGTCGGCAATCAGCATGGACGGCGATGCCACCAGTCAAGACATCTAGAGAGTACAGTAGGGCTATGTATCGACTGGTACAACATAAGCCATAAACATGACTGTATGGGAGATTCGAATGTCCTGTGATCCCTTGATCTCTTCGATAACGACGTCGGTTGGCTACGATCGATTGATGAGCGTGGATGTGATCGAGTTCCAACTTGGTGTGCGCCATGATGCATGTCGCCGTACGCGCCAGTGACGTACCACCACCAGTTGTGTCGGCAGCGGAGGTACCAACAGACGTTCTTCGAGTCGGCGTCCTCCGGTAGATGGCCAAGTGCGACCCCCGCCGCGTACATCATGGCGTGGCCCCTGTACCTAGGGGACGTGGAGCCCAAGGACGTGGACGCTGCCATGGCGACGATCAAGACCAAGCGATCGATGCAGGTTGTCGTCTGGTATTCCACGGGATTCAGATGCGGGGCCAACTACCATCCTGGCGACTAGGACTGCGCGAAGTGCTCGGCAGCCATAATCTCCAACTCGAACGCGACTGCCGACGTCGTCTTGCGGGTGATCGACAGCAGTTCAACTCACATAACGTTACAGTAGTAGTACTATCTATATTGGCCAAAATCCCGAATCCGGGTAAACGTCCGGTTACGAAAAGCCATACTACTATTAGTATTGATTTACTGCTTTTATTAATACTAGTAGTAAGTACTAGTAGTACTTACATATTACACTATTAATACTACGTAGTACGTAGTAGTACGTTATTAATACAGTAACGTTACGGTATTAATAGTATGTAGTGTAGTATGTAGACGATGCCTCGTCTCGTGTCCAGCTGATAACTCCGCAAGTTGATTTAATGTGAGCTTACTGTTTACTACTACTAGTAGTATTGTTTTCAAACGTTGGGCGACAACGTCCTCGTAAATATATATGTAAGGATCTGAGCGGTACACAGAGGAACAAAGCTACCGGTAATGCATGTACTACATTGTACAGTACAGTAATGTAATGAGCCAAGGCAAGGCGGTTGGTTCTCTACATGTTTACCAAGGTGGCAGTATACATGTTGCAGTACGGACAATACCGTATTCTTGCATTCGTTCTAGACTGGCTTTTTCTACATACAAACAATGGTATGAACCAGCTTATCCGTATCCGGAAACGACCATACGTGTCGAGATCGAGTTCACGAATACGGTCTCACCATTTGACATCACCAAGTCGTTGGTGGCGACACTACTTTGGTAACAAAAAACCGACACCAGCCATCCACTAACATATCGCGTATTTATGTCGCGGTTTTGCAGGTTCTTTGTCCACTTGTCCGGGGCCAGTGGACTTGGCGCTCGACTCGATGAAGCATACTACGATCAACTAACACCAACTAACGCCAACTAATGCAATTGCACGATTGGTCTTGCTCGGAAAAGTGCATCTCGTTCGTCTGTTTGTGTCTACAATGCCGTGCTTTCTCTGTGCAATCGTAGTCGAAGTTGGTAGAATCGAAGTTCGAAGGCAGAGATCCCAGTAAACTTGATGAATGCGAGTAAAAACTATTGGGGTGTTGTTTTTTTAAGAATTATGCATTTCGACCGATCTTACTGGATTCCAGTATGGAGATTTATTTTATTACGGTGAGAACGAATTAAAATATCTCGTGCAACATGTCGTTGTGCTTGCCATCACATTTTCTTTGTACCCAGCGCCGCGTGAACTCTCCCGTGCGTCGTCACCGCCGCCATGTGCCGCCCCTTTGAGATCGAATCCAGGCTTAATGTGAGCCACCTGCTCCCGGGGTTCAACGTTCCCCAACAACAACAACAAACCTTGTATGCCATGCCCAAGCCCGCCGCCGCCATGCCGTTCATGTTGTCGTCGTTCAAACCTCCGCAATTCGACGTCATGACGACCGGCAACTCCAACTTTGACTCGTTCGAGGACCTCCTCGACTGCTCCATCCTCGACGACGACTCGGACCTTCACCTGAACGTCGGCGACGAGGATTTCGACCCCACGGAACTCGCGATCCTGTCCAAGTACGTGGAAGACATTCCGCTCGACAACGCCGACAACAACATGAAGACCGAAGTCCATGTCATGGACCAACATCCTGGCATGGTCACCCTGAACCTGCTCGATGACATGAGCTTGGATCTGAACATGTTGTCGGACGAAGACATGCTGCTCACCAACATGCAGCTCAAGGCCCCCATCGACATGTCCATGAACACCGGTGCGATGATGACCTCGGACCCCTGGACCAACCAAACCTCGTCGTGCACGTCCGACGACCACCACCACGACGAAGAAGCCGCGTTCCCGTTCAAGAGCCGCCGCTTCTGCTCGGTCGATGGATGCGACAAGCGCTCCCGGTCGCACGGCCTGTGCATCGCCCACGGCGGCGGGCGCCGCTGCGCCGTGGACGGCTGTGGCAAATCGAGCCAAGGCGGAAACCTCTGCATCAAGCACGGAGGCGGCAAACGCTGCCAAGTCGACAAGTGCGACAAGGCCGCGCAATCGAACCTCCTCTGCAAGATGCACGGTGGCGGTCCTCGCTGCCTCTTCGCCAACTGCCACCGCAGCTCGCAAGGCGGTGGATTCTGCCGAACCCACGGCGGCGGCAAGCGCTGCCTCTTTGAATCATGTGACAAGGGCACGCAACGCGGCGACTTCTGCGCGCTTCACGGCGGCTCCCGCCTTTGCGGTGTCTCTGGCTGCATGCGCAACGACCGTGGCGGTGGATTCTGCGCTACCCACGGCGGTGGCAAGCGCTGCTCCGAGGAAGGCTGCCAGAAGCCATGCCGCCGCCAAGGCATGTGCTCCACCCACCTGCGCTTGTCCGGCTCAGCCTAAGCGACGACCTGCTCCTCATTTTGGGTCGTTGGGACGGAGATGGAGTCAAGATTCAGCGTGTTTTGAGTTTTGTGCTTCATTCTCCATGTAAAGCATTGGACAAATATGCATTTTTGTGTTGCGTTTTGAAGCGAGGTTATGAACAATAATATTTATTCAAGAACTGTATGGAATTCAATAATACAATTGGTTTTTTGTAGTCGTAATGTGCACCAATCAGATCGTTGTATGTCGTATGTGGCCAGCCAAATCAATCTTTCACGTGACAAATGTCCGAATTCTGTAAAACCGATGACAAATCTCACCATGGGATTTGATTGGCTTTCTCGATTCTGCACAATAAAAACAATAAAATAATGGAGCCAATCATCGACAAGTACTGTCAGAGTGACCCAATGGGAGCGATCCGTACCAAATCAATATCAAAATCGTCCATTCAGCCAAAATTTGGATTTGTGTGCTGGTTTGGTCAAAATCACACTAGGGTACAAATCACACACTAATTCAACGTTAAGTCATCGAGAACTTGATTGGCCACTTGAATCGTGTTCTTGGTTTTGATTGGTTGTTTGATTGTCTGCCCACTCGAATTTCCAATCGAATTCGACCACTTGCAAACGGGATGAATCATTTATAACGTAAAAGTCCAATTTAAGGTGCTCGATCCAATTTAAGGTGCACGCGAATTAGCCAATCAATTCCTACAAAGGCAGTATTTAACCTAGCCGCCCAAAAAATATACAAAGACTAAGCTTATTAAAATGGTGCACCTTAAATTGGACGACCGCTTGTTTTAAGCTGTTTGTGGTGAATGATAATGAATTATAACAGGAATCATATCGCATTCATAACTCCGGACTAGGCCTGGATTTTGGCTTCATGTAACAAATTGTAGAATTATAATCCGATACCTACGACTCGAGAAAAACTGTTTTTATACTTTTATGATAATGAATTATAACAGGAATCAAATTGCATTCATAACTCCCGACTAGGCCTGGATTTTGGCTTCATGTAACATATTGTAGAATTATAATCCGATACCTACGACTCGAGAAAAAGTGTTTTAATGGACTTTTACGTTAGCGTTCATTCATCTATTGGACCAATAAATTAGTGAATTCCTCCGCGGACACTGGTTCAACATGCAACTTCAACCCGTGCTGCATTCAGACACAAGATGCGTATGGGAATGTGTCGCCAGAACGAATGAACGTACGTAGGCAGGCATATCATACACACACATCGATGCGACCGACCCACCCTTGTATTAGTAGTGAGTTCATTGCTTACAATCGCTCGAGGATCAACGCGCCCGCGCCGCCGCCGCCGTTGCAGATGGACGCGCATCCGATGGTGGCGTCGTTTTGTTCGAGCACGTGGATAAGAGTGCCGACGATGCGCGCGCCGCTCATGCCGATGGGATGGCCGAGCGCGACGGCGCCGCCGTTCACGTTGACGCGGCTGTGGTCCAAGTTGAGCAGCTGCATGTTCACCAGAGACACGACCGAGAACGCTTCGTTAATCTCGTGGTAGTCAATATCCGTGAGCGATAGCTTGGCGTGCTTGGCGGCGATCGGCACGGCCTTGGATGGCGCGGTCGTGAAGTCCACGGGTTCATGCGCGGCATCGCCAAAGCCGAGAATGCGCGCCAACGGTTTCAGGCCCAACGCCAGGGCTTTTTCCGCCGACATCAACACCTACAACATGACATTGTCTACCTTGACAGCAAACACAAAAAACACACGGAAAACGACGCAAAAAAAACGCGAAAAAAAGGATGAATTTCCCAATTTTTTTGCTCGATTCGTAAAACCAATCCGAAATCTCATAGTGTCCGTGCTTCAAGAGATTCTGACGTACCAAGGCAGCGGCGCCATCATTCAATGAGGATGCGTTGGCGGCGGTGACCGTGCCATCCTTCTTGAAGGCGGGGCGGAGGGATGGGATCTTGCTGACGTTGACGTTGTGGATCTCGTCGTCTTCGGTGATGACCTTGGGGTCGCCCTTGCGCTGCGCGATGGACACGGGAGTGATTTCCGCGGCGAATTTGCCCGCCTAAGTGCAAGCGACTCGATTGAGGAATGAAGAGAAGGAGTGAGAAGTAGACCTTGGCGGCGTTGGCAGCGCGGGTGTAGCTTTCGATCGCGTACTTGTCTTGGTCTTGGCGGGTGATGCTATACTCTTCGGCGCACTTTTCACCGCACAAGCCCTGCGTAACAAGATGCACTCACGTTAGGTTTGGTCAGGAAGGAGAGAGAGATCGAACCATGTGCTGGTTGTTGTACGGGTCCCAGAGACCGTCGTGGATGACACCATCGACCAACTAGACAACGTGGTGAGACCAGAAGACGTGGAGACTCGAACGATGATGACGATGTACCTTTCCGTCTCCCAAGCGGTAGCCCGTACGCGCCTTGGGCAAGTAGTACGGGATGTTGGACATGCTTTCGAACCCACCGGCGAGCATGACATCTTGGCTGCCGGCAATGATACTTTGCGACGCCAACGCGATGGATTTCATGCCGGAAGCGCACACCTTGTTGATGGTCGTGCAAGGCACCGTGTCGGGGATGCCTACGACGAGAAAGAGCAACATTGTCGTCGTCGTTATGGTGGATACACCAATCAAATGCAATAACCAACGAGTACCTGCTTTGAGCACGGATTGGCGCGCAGGGGCTTGGCCGATGGCGGCTGAGACAACGTTACCCAAGTACGCTTCTTGGATTTCGTTGACCGAAATACCCGCGCGCTCAATCGCAGCTTTGTTGGCAATCGCACCAAGTTCGGGCGCGGAGAGCGAGGCGAACGCTCCGTTGAACGTCGCGATGGGAGTACGCGCATAACTCACGATCACCACATCCTACGTTCCGTGACGACCATGCTCCTCGTGAACATGACTACGTGTGGTGCTTACCCGGGGCGACAGGGCGGTGCTGAAGTGGCGGGCGAAGGACTTAGCGGCAGATTGCATACTCAGGATCAGGACGTATTTGAAAATGAGGCCAAGATTGATTTTGCCCCATGGATTACAAATCGACACCTGGTAAAGCATCTGGAATTATATTTTGATACTTTAGCAATATATTACATACAATTACCTTGCGTTCATCGAATTTAAATAAATATAAGTTGTACCGTAAATAAATAGAGGCTATGAACGGGCTGTGGTAAGTCGATTCTTGGACATACGTTTTAAACTAAAACGTACCTGTTTAAACTCATTGCACGAAGCGCATCACAACATTTGATTGGCTAAAATAAAGTGATTTCAACCAATCATGGCTGATCTGTTATGGAGGTGTCGCAATTTTTGAATTTGCCGCTGACATCAAGATGGCACACTCCGCCTTAGATCTGCCATCAGCAGCAGCAGCTGAAGGAGAAGCACCTGTAACTCCTCACAACAACCAAGACGAGTGTGATAGCACCAAGGAAACTCAAGTGGACGGCAAGATTGACGAAGCTGACGATGTCGCAGATGCCCGCGAACCTGAGCAGAAGAAGCACAAACCGTTGTCGACTCCAACGAACGCGCAGCCTTCGTCCCCTTCAACTACGGATCTCCAAGCGCTATCCTGGGATGGCGATCACTGCGGTGATCACGTTCGTCTCTCCAACAAGACGAACACGATGGAAACCTGCATTTTGGACCCTGAGCAATGGAATTGCGTTCTTGCGTCCCAAGCGGCATCCACGTTCCGTGTGCGCCTCGACAACGTCGGTCGCGGCGGCGATCTGTGGGTAGGCTACTGCAAAAAGGACAGCTTCGTTCCGAACGGAAGCACGAGGGGTCGATTCTGCCAAATCCTCCGAGCCTCCGCCGCCAACGTCACTGGTGACGAGACTAGCCATCCATTCGAGGACGGCGATGTGCTGACCGTCACCCATCACCGCGCCAACCACACGATTCTGTTTCAAAAGAATGGACAAGATATCGGCATCGAGTACGAACATGTGACCGACGAACCTCGGTACCCCGCCGTCGTTACAAACAGCGACCGTGTCTCGATGACACTGCTTTAAGCTACAAAGCAATCCAACGATGATTACCTTTAGCCTTGTACAATCGAAAACCAAGGTTACATGACTGCAAATCCAGTTCAAGTTATCAAGTTATTGTATGTACGACAACAGTCTTGCACTATGAGGAATTCATGGCAGGTGTACGACAAAGAGGCGATGGTTTTACAGTATTAGGTACTGTATTGTGGTGTGTATTCTATTCTGGAGCGACATGGACAAAAATGTATTCCCATCAGCAGAAGGATTTAGCCAATCAGATTGCAGAAAACCATCATCGACGTCAAATTAGTATGTGACTTCAATTAGTGTGATACAAATCACCACAGGAGGACTTTTTACATACAAAATTCAGTACGAAGAATCGATCCATAGATTTGGCGATTCATTACAAAAGTCCAAATTTTGGGTAAAAGGACAATACTATGAATAAGTAGTACTCCGGAGTACTTGATGTATTAATTGATATATTGTGAATTTGCTATAAACTCCAAAATTCGCGCGCGATTTGTCTAATCAATATTGAATCACTCTGGAGTTCTGATTGGTTGAACATACTTGTCCATTTTGTAAGAGCCAATCAAATCCACTCAAAATTGGATTAGCCAATAGCGTCGATTCGTGATGGCGAGATTCGATTGGATGGGGTCTGGAAATCTGTACCGAATCCACAATATGATTTGAATTTTCTTTTTTATTCTTAAATACAAAACAAATCAAATCAAAGTCCTTTCTCCGTACTTTGGATCGTTTACAGTCCTACAACAGCCAATTCCAATTCGATCAAGTGTCATGACGAGTGGAGATGAATTGATGTGTTGATGTTGTGTACTAATGTTAATACAAAATGTAGAGCCCTGGACGGTGTAGATTTCTTCGTTACCTGGATACACAGAGTGCCTGCATGTTGTGCATTCACACGGAAAGCCACCATCGCATGGTTTTCACACCCCGTTCACAGACAGGATACACAGGCTTCGCGTTGAGTGCATTTGATCCCCGAATAAGGGCCACAACAACCCCCCCCCGTACATGAACGGACCCCCTACTACACCCCCCTTGCAAAGTACTACAGTACTTGTACTTCGAAGTATGCCCATTATAGTATACGGTATAGTGCCTCGTCCATCTGTATCCACAATTTTGGTCTTAAGTGGCGACGCAGTGACGTGAGCAGTGACAGACGTGCATATGCTGTGCTGGCCCTGTGAAGTAACTTCAATGAGGAACAACTACCTACTACTGCAACTCTGAATATCCAATGTTATTAATAATCAAAAATAGTAAAACAACAATGGACGTTATTCTATGCACCACATCGAATGAAATGTCTGAACATGGAATCGGCAAGGCAAAAGTCTGCACATCTCCCTTGCGCCACTGTACTACTGTACCTTGGTACTGTATTCCAGTACATTGTGAAATTGCACTATATCAGTTCCATCCACTCAACGTTCTGTGAATACTAGTACTAACTGAAAGAGACTGTAATCACTTGTACTGCTTACTGCATAGTACCAACAATTGTACTTGTTTACGGTAATTGATATTTCCACGTTGAAGTTGACACCAGGAACGTTGGGGCAACCTCATCACCATCTCGACAACGTTCGCCGACAGCGCGGGCACATAAGCTACGCGCCATCATGCCGTTAGCCTCGACATTAAACGGTGTGGTTGCCTCCTTGATACATATACCTCGCTCGTCTGGGAATAACACATGGAGTACATATGTATCTGTCCATCGTTGGTCGCCTTTCTAGGCTGAGTAAGACCGCAAACCGCGCGATACACACATGACGGATAAATACTTTCCTGGTTCCTCATTAAACTATCGAGTCGAGCCACCAACATCCACACACGCACGGTCGCAGGACAAACGTCGTCCATCATACGCACACACCGCCGAGATATTTGTTTATAGCTCCATCGAGAACACGTCTTGGTCGTCGTCGGGCAGACTCAAATTGTCGGCGGCATCCAGATCAGACGACAACGACGACGGCCGCGGGGTTGAGCTGCTGCTGTCAGTCTCGTGCTTGGCATATTCCGCTCCTATCCGTGCGTTCGCCGCATACGCTTGTACAAGCATTTGCCCTTCCCTTGCTTCGAACGACAGTTGAGGGATCGTCGGTTCGGTGTGCGTCAAGTCGGTGGATGCCGCGCTCCGGTGCGTGGCCATCATTGGAATCGCCATGGGCGGGGACTGTTGCCAACTCATCGAGAGCTGCAGAAGGGTCGAGTCCTGCAGACGATGCGGCGGGAGCGGTGTCTTGATTACACTCGTCATTCGAATGGTTGGCAATATCGGAAATGAACGTGATGCTGACGTGGGGAAGTTGCCTTGGTCGTGGACGAGGTAGTTTGTTTCGAAGTTTTATATGGCTCCTAGAAAAAACAAGATATAAAATAAGAAAATTCGATAATAAAAATACGACAGCAAACTCGAAGAAGCCAAATCGAATCTTTATCTTGGTTCAACGAATCCCTGGTCAATACTTGTAATATTTAATATCCTGTGGATTTGAATCACTTCGGAACAAATATCACGAAAACACCACTCGCAAATGGTACTGTATATTGTTCTTCGCTGCTCACGCTTCCAAACTCTACTGAGCTCCATTTTCAATCCCTTCAAGTGGAGCTGTAGCAACACCTATGAGGCATCCTCCATCATTGCATGTAAAACATAAATGTAGAAATTTGGAGGAGTAGTAAACGCATTATTGGAATGTCCAACGAACGATACAGGTAGCATAGTCGTTGAAACAAATAACCTGTATAAACAAGTACTTCAAGACCATAGCATATGGTTTGACACTTTATGAAAAACGCCTCGCACCAGGTTGAAGTTGAAGGGGGCGTTTATAGATAGTAGTACATGTAAAGATCCATACAAAACCTAAGATGTTCCAGTATACTATAGAAATAGTGCACTCCACCATTTGTCCAGCATCCTATGACTCATATAGCTACAGTAAGTACTATGTATACTGTAGCTAGCTCCTCACTCCTGCAAGTTATCGTTAGCCAGCATGTCTATTGTTTTGGCCCCTTTATCGAGTTGGCTTCTAGCCACGTAAAGCCATGTAAGCCAAGTGGAGTTAGCCAAGTTGGAAAGTCTTCAACTTGTGTATACCCACTTGCCACGTTGGCTATGCTCCATTCTGGTCGTCGCCCCAAATACACCCAGCGCAATAACGCTATGTACACTACTCGTCCTTACCGACCCCCTCCCACTGTACTACCGTTGGACAATATAGTACTTCGTGAATTCTCGGTTCATCAACAATCTCCGCGTGTCCCAAGTTGCCTCCTTCCGATAAGCTACTGCTGCTGTACTTGCTGTTACAGTCCACCAACCAACTGGTTAGTGTACACAACCTTGTTCAGTCGACATTTGCGAGACAGGACTTTGTGTTTCATGCCACCGTTTACGAGCTACTAGTAGTACTTACTGTAGTCCACTTGGCCACCCGCCAAGTTGAGTTCGATTTGCGCAAACACGGGGTGAAGACAAACACGGGCAACTTTAACCAAAGTTGCCTGAGCTCACTACAGCGTTTTCGCTTCGTGGTAACTTGTTTTGCCATTATTTTTGGCTACCAATCGTACTTATAATCATAAAATGTACTTCGAAGTACTACTTACGTAGTACTATTAATAGTAGTAGTATGCTTCGAAGTACTACGTACAGTAGTAAGATTATCACAAAATAAGGCATAATTACAGATTATCACAAAATAAGGCATAATTACAGTAACCCCAAATATCACATGTGATCGAAAACCAAGTGGAATTTATGAGAGTGTTTCTCAAAACTGGCCAATCAAAGAGGAGATATCCCAAACTATCTTTATACTCCACCAATCATACGCAAGCAACACGAAACTTTAAAGAAATGCTGCCAATGAAACGTGACACCCTTACTATGTATACTGTAGCTAGCTCCTCACTCCTGCAAGTTATCGTTAGCCAGCATGTCTATTGTTTTGGCCCCTTTATCGAGTTGGCTTCTAGCCACGTAAAGCCATGTAAGCCAAGTGGAGTTAGCCAAGTTGGAAAGTCTTCAACTTGTGTATACCCACTTGCCACGTTGGCTATGCTCCATTCTGGTCGTCGCCCCAAATACACCCAGCGCAATAACGCTATGTACACTACTCGTCCTTACCGACCCCCTCCCACTGTACTACCGTTGGACAATATAGTACTTCGTGAATTCTCGGTTCATCAACAATCTCCGCGTGTCCCAAGTTGCCTCCTTCCGATAAGCTACTGCTGCTGTACTTGCTGTTACAGTCCACCAACCAACTGGTTAGTGTACACAACCTTGTTCAGTCGACATTTGCGAGACAGGACTTTGTGTTTCATGCCACCGTTTACGAGCTACTAGTAGTACTTACTGTAGTCCACTTGGCCACCCGCCAAGTTGAGTTCGATTTGCGCAAACACGGGGTGAAGACAAACACGGGCAACTTTAACCAAAGTTGCCTGAGCTCACTACAGCGTTTTCGCTTCGTGGTAACTTGTTTTGCCATTATTTTTGGCTACCAATCGTACTTATAATCATAAAATGTACTTCGAAGTACTACTTACGTAGTACTATTAATAGTAGTAGTATGCTTCGAAGTACTACGTACAGTAGTAAGATTATCACAAAATAAGGCATAATTACAGATTATCACAAAATAAGGCATAATTACAGATTATCACAAAATAAGGCATAATTACAGTAACCCCAAATATCACATGTGATCGAAAACCAAGTGGAATTTATGAGAGTGTTTCTCAAAACTGGCCAATCAAAGAGGAGATATCCCAAACTATCTTTATACTCCACCAATCATACGCAAGCAACACGAAACTTTAAAGAAATGCTGCCAATGAAACGTGACACCCTTTTTGGATCAGATTACCGTAATACTTCAAGTACTACTACATACAGAGAACCGAGTAGGAACTCAAGCACAGTGGTATCGACACTATTTTTTTTCCATGGAGCATTCATAAATTCCGACGTCAACCAATAGTATTTTTTTCATATTTTATATTTTAACCAATAGTATGCTCATAAAAAGTTTGTAAATTGTATGATTGGATATAATAAAATTAATCAGATTGATCTGATTGCAAAATTATAATTCGTACTCGGAATCACAACTTGCGCATTCGCATACAATTCCCCATATATTTCAAAATACCACTGTGCGCGAGTTCCTACTCGGTTCTCGTAGTAGTACGACTACGACGTTGTATACATCTTTCATGACAAATCAACGACTAACTGTTCGTTGATTGAAGTTCCAGGGATCGCCAGATTTGATATTAGTAGCCAAATGTAATTAGTAGCCAAACTTATCGTTCAACGACGTGCGGCCATCGCCCGTTTGGTTGGTCGGCGGTTGCCACACCACGTCACCGCCTTCCAGCACATCTAACGCTGTCGCATGAACGACGGCAGACTTTTTGTTCACTGGGTCTCCCTTTCGTCGGTGGCGAATGCGTTTCGGACGGGCCTCTACCTCAATTGGTTTCACCTCGGGGGAATGTCGTTTTGAGGGCCGCTTGTCCTCTCGTTCTGCCACGTCATCGCTCGACACGAACGATGACGACGAAGATGGCTCAGCTGTGACGTCTGACATGAGCGAACCAGTGGGTTGAGGTGCAACATGATTGTCTGTATCATGTTGGTTTAGAATTGTCGTAGCGGTCGATAGAGTTGGCTGAGGCTTGGCTGTAGGTGCTGGCGTCGCTCTACAATATATACATCTTGACAATCCTCCTTTGTTGGCATCACAACCAACTTGTTTGAGCTAGTCCTTCAATCCTTAAAAATATATACCTATATATGTACAAATTTGCTCTAATTTGTATAAAACAAATAATTAAATTGTATAAATATACATTCATATATTTATATATGCCGTTCCATCCACCTCGTCAAGTCCACACAAAAAAACTATATATATATATATATATATATAT